GGCGCCATAGTTCAATGAGTTGTTGCCTAAGATTCATGGAGGCTGCTGTTTTCGGCCATGTGGAAGCACCACAATCTAATGGAAACTGTTGCATTCGGCTCCGTGGAGGCAACAGTATTTAGCTCTGAAGTTTGAAGCTCCATTGCTGTTAAACGGATTCGTGGCCAATAAGCTCTGGCTCGATTTTATCTTTGAACCTCCTTCTCGGATGTTTTTAGACCCATGTCCAACAATTATATTATTAGTATTATTAAATGACGGATGAAAAAAAAAAATAAGTAAATTTAGCAAATAGAAAAAGTATTATAAATTTATTCACATTATTTAATTTAAATTATTGTTTTATATAAATAATTCTTACGTCAATCTGTGTTCTTTATTAAATAATAATAATAAATAAAATTACAAGCATCGACCCTAACCAATTGGTGTTTGTTAGGAGACAACAATTAGTCATATTAATTTAAATAATAATTTAGTATGTAATTTTTTAAATAATATATTTTATTAAAAATCTAGCTAGATAGCAATAACTAGCATATTGATGATTGTACTTTTATTTTTTGTAATTAAAAGTGTTAACCCATAAAGTTTTCTTATTTAAATAATATTTCACTAAATACTTTATATAGAAAATAATATTTCTTTCCATTAAAATTTTTATATTATTATATACATATACAAAAATTAAAAAATAATAATATTTAAGTAGTATGTGAAATAAAATAAATATTATAGAATTTTTATTAAAAAATTAACATAGTAAAAAAAAAAACTTAATTAGTTAATATTTATTAAATGTAATATATTTAATCAAAATACAATATAAAAACACATCCAAACAAACCCAATGATTTGACTTTCAGTGTTCATTAGGCGACACAAACAAATTATTGGCTACTTGGGTCAAACAGTTATACTAATAACAATCTGTCGGATCCCAATTTATTTCATTTTTCAAAGGTCAACTGTAGAGTTAATTCGTTTCTAAATAGCAAAGTCAACCATCTGTACTAATTGTCCCTATTCATATATTAAATCAAATTTTTTTCCTTTAAAATATTAAATTAAATATTTTATTTAAAATTAATTTTATATTCAAAATATTATATTAATATTTATTGATATTACATCACGCAATTATTATAATTTTTTTTAAAATAAAAATTATTTAAAATTTAAATTCAAAATTAAAATACCCAAACAAACACACCCTGAAGTTTTGGTCAATTTTTTTTTTATTTCTCAACTTGCATGAGTGTTTAGACGTTACAAAATACTCCTTAATTTATTGCATATTGAAAAGCTTGGTGTAATATGTTCTATCAAAAAAGAGTCCATAGAATTTAAATTTATGATATAAGTCATTTTGTCATTCTTTGTCACAATATTTTTATATGATATGCAGAGGACTTAGAGTTTGTTTGGCAATGGGTTAAAATTAATTTGAAATAATATATTATTTAAATAATATTTTAATATGATATTTTATATAAAAAAATATACTCCATTCGTCCCATTAATATAGTCTTAATTAAGTTGGGTACGAAATTTAAAGAATATTGATATTATATTGATAGTTGATAAAAAGTATAGATAAAATATTTTTTTACCCTTGTGAGTGTATTAATGTAAAAAATAGTAGCAATTGTATAATAAAAATGAAAAAATATGAGTAATTTTAGGAAGAGTATTGGGTGCTGATTCTAAAACATCAGCACCCATGCTGATAGTGTAAATGTGATTACATATAATTACATTAATTATATAATTTAATAAAATAAATTAGTATGACTAATTTTTACACTATCAGCATGGGTGCTAATTTTTTAGAATCAGCGCCCAATCCCCTTCCTAGTTTTACGGTGATATGGTTATTTATAGAAATAAGACTATTATTTAGGGACAGACAAAAAATGATAAACATGACTATTGTTTAGGGACGGACAAAAATGGTAAACATAACTATTGTTTTGGGACGGACAAAAATGGTAAACATGACTATTGTTTTGGGACGGACAAAAATGGTAAACAAGACTATTGTATTGGGACGGATGGAGTGTATTTTATTGAGAAGCAGCCGCTACCCGAAAATGCGCATTTATTTCATTGTGATATATACGCTCTGTTTACGCAATACACTTTCACTTATTTGACACTGTTCATTTTTCAAAAAATATCACATCAAATACCATTTTTCCTCACAAAGCATTAAATCAAATACTAACTTTTTTTTATTTTTTCAAACTTCTAAATTTTCAAAAACCCTTGTCTAAACAAACCCTAATTTCTCCTACTTTCCCAACTTAAAATAGTAATTTGATGTTTAATAAATTAAAAAATAATAATATTTTGATTAAAATATAATATATTTTTGATATTTTTGCCTTGCAAATACAGAGAAAATGAATAATCCCCTACCAGATGAAAGTATTTTGATATTTATATATAATTATTTTTAATATAATATGAAAAAATATATTTTTTTTAAATAAATAAACAAAATTATAAAAATAATACACTGAATTAAAACGAAAAGAATAATTATCAAAAAGAAAAACATATTTATATATATTGTTTATAATTTTTTTTTTATTTAAATAGCATTATATAATATTTTTATAAAAAACAATATATTTTGATTATTAGTATAAAAAATAAACAATAGAAACATAACGAAGATTATATAGAGAATAAGACCTTTATTTTCAATGTTTTGTTTTAGGTTATATAAAAATATAACATAAAATTATGTTAAAAATATTTTAATGTAGTATTAATAAAAATAACAAAGATTGTGTGTTTGTTTGGGGATTAGATTTTAAATTCACTATGCATCCAATTTTTTCTTCCAAAAATATTAAATCAAACACTTATTTTTTTATTTTTTATATTATATTAAAAATCAATTTTATATTCAAAACATCACATCAATACCTATTTATATCACATCATATATATTTTTTTTAATTGCAGTAGAATTTGAATCGGTAATCTTTCAAATACTAAAAAAGGTACCACACCAAGTCGCCATTTACGAACCAAAAGAATAAAAAATAAAAATAAAATGTTAGTCAACACTGAAAATATAAACAAACACTCCCTACGTTACTTCTGATGCCCAAACTTTTTTGACCCGTGAATATTTTTATTGCATTATATAGGAAATATAAAATAATATCACAATTAAGATATTGGTTCACATTTGGTTTGACTAATATTACTATGTACGTCTTAATAAAAGTGAGTAATAATAATAATAATAATTTTTTTTATAGTAAAAAAATGTACAAAAATATAATAATTTTTTATTTAAAAATTATAACAAAAAATATTTTTCAATGACAATTAAAAAAAAATGAACATAAATTTGAATGAAGAATAGAGTAATATATATATATATAGATATGTATATATATACCTTCCTTATTTGACTTTATATTTTATATTTACATTTTAAATTTTATGAGGAAACATAATCTATTTTTATAGATGATGTGGATTCATTTAAAAAAAATACTCACTCCGTCCCATATAATTTGTCCCTATTTTCTATTTTCGTCCGTCCCACATAATTTGTCTATTTTTTTTTTGGAAATATAATTATACACTTTAATCTCATTTTAAATTTTAAATTTTATAAATTTTTTAATAATTAAACTATTTAGTTATCTTAATCTTAATCCACAATTATTTTTATTATACGATAATTATTTTTACTAATACACTTCTTAATTACTTACTAATCACATTTTACCTAAATTCCCGTATCTACCTTAATAGGCCCATAATACGTAAGACGGAGGGAGTATTTAAGTAAGAGAGCTATTCTGTGTGAACTTATACATCTTGTAATAAATAATAATCGTACAAAGGGTGTTTGCTTAATAATAATAATAATAACAATTAGAATGTAGTATTATTTTGAATATTTGTTTGAAATAAAATAACATAATTTTGTAAAGAATCGAAATAATTGTATAATAAAAAATTGAAATGAGATTTTTAAAAGAATAGAACTTTATATATCACTCAATTTATTTTGACCTAAATGTGTGACATGAAACTAAAGTATTCAATCCAAGGAACCTTGGGTTATTTACACGAGGTATTTTTGTATTTTAAGTTTTTAGATGAAATAATATATATTTTAAGTAATATATTTGAGAAATTAAATAGTAAAAATTTGAAGGAAAAAAAAAAAAAAAACCCTCAAACAATCAAATCATTGAAATATTTAAAAATTCTACTTTTATTTGTGATATATGTTTATTGATCAAGTTTACTCTACTTTTTTTTGATATATAATTATTATATATTTCTATGAAATCATATTATTTCTCATTACAAAATATTATATTCATGCTAAAAAAATAAAATTCAAAAGAACACATTTATATTTAAGATTTATTTATTTATTTATTTATTTATTTATTTTTAGTACTTTAGATTGTTTTAAAGAATATATATATATTTTTTGTTGTGTTTTGGCTTGAGTTTTAATTAAATCCAAAATATCATATTCATTTTTACAGTTTTTTTTATATAAAAATTAAATTTATTTCACACAAAATTATATTAAAATATGATTTAAACTAAAATCTCTATATATATCATATTTAATTTTAAATAGTTGGTTTTGTTTTTATATATATATGTATATATTTATCAATTATTTTTTCATTTATATTTATTCAAAATATATAGTAGAAAACTGTTATTTTGTTTTTAAAAATATTATACTCAAAATTACATTAAAAAATGTTGAAGACAAGTACACAATTTTATATTTTGATTTTTTGAGGATAATATTATACAAATTGCAGGTTTATAAGGACGAGTTTTTATTTAACGCACTAAATAATACTCCTTATCATATGAACGTCGAATTTTATTTGAAAATAAATAAACTGTATGAAAGAAATAAAAATAAATATATATACATACATTTAAAAACAAAAGCAATAGAACAAACACGATTTCCCTTTTTGCCGAAAATACGTGCGACGCTTCTGCAAACGAAAGTGCGACTTTGGATGCTCAATGTAGCCAGCGATGGGAAGTACCGCTTTTGTGTTCGCTAACATAAGCTATGGCCGGAGAAGGAGAATCGCGTCAGCCGCCGCCGGCGGAGGCGGAGGCGCAGCTTTTTGGGCTACTATCTACTCTCCTTGAGCAGGTACAACGATCCAAATTCGGTATTATGTGTGTTTTTCCGTATTAATTTATTTGGAGTTGCACTCTCGAAAATTTCTATTGCGGGCAACGATCGTGAATTTCGTCTCCGGACGTGGATGTAGATTTTGATTGATTTATAGAATTTTTTTTGTTTTTGAGATGTGAGATCTGTTTAGAGTAGTAGGTGAAATTCGCCGCGCCGTATTAGTTGGAGTTGGAAATATTCATTTCAGGACGGGATGCAGAGTTTGCAATTGTTAATTCGTCTGATTGTTGTTGTGGATTTTGAAATTGATGCGAATGTTCTTTAGGGGTTTGGGTGAACATGATTCGTGCCATGCTCGTGTGTGAATAGTGGATCTGAATTAATGAAGATGACTTCATTGTGATTTTAGTATTATCCTTTGTCCTCTGTTCATCCATGTTTTCTTACCTTTTCCCGTTACTCATAACTGAGGGACGAAGGAACATATAAGTTCTATGCGTGCTCTGGTAGTTTTGCTAAATTGAATGATCAATTGAATAATGCTTGATCTTCTCTTTTGGAAAATTGAGAAGGCTGGACTCATGGAAAAAGTTGCTAGGGTTTACTCATAGGTTGGAAGTAGTGATGCAACTTGGTTTCATATCTCGATATCTTTAGTAATGTGATCCTCAGAAGCCATTGCAATTCTAAGATAGGATAGCGGCAATCATATGATCAGCTTCGTTGTAGATTATGTTTAAGAACCTAAATAGTTAAATTGTATAAAAGGCGAGACTAACGATGTAGAAGACTAATCGAATAATTACAGTGATTTTTGGATTCCGCTGTAGAATTTGAACTTATTCAATATTCATACGATATTTTAAATATTTCTTGTAGTCTTAGCGAGGCTGTTTTTTTGCAACATTTACGTCATTTTGAAATCATTCGAGCTGTTTTTGGCACCACTGAATTCTTGAACCCTTTTCATTGGTTTTCTGCAGGTGCCAAAAATCTATATTGCATTTTTGTGAAATTTATCTTGTAGAGTGAACGAATATGCAACAGACAAATGGGCAATTAAAGAATGTTAGATTATAGTTCCTTTATTTATTTGGAACGAGCCATCGGTTTGTAGAAGTTGCACTTGAACATTAGGTTTAAAACATTATGCCAAAAGTTCTTAACTTTTTATGACTAATAACCTTGAATTATATTTATTCATGACTGATGTTCTGGATCTAGTTAACGTGAAGTAGAAATTCCCTTGTTCATATATCGAACATCCACTGATTTCAACTCTGTTAAATTCTAGTATTGAACTTGGAATAGTACCTTAACTTTTCTAAGCCATACATATTTTGGTGAAAGAATTTTTTTTTTCCTCTTTTTCAAATGATATGTTTGGCAGTGGTGTATGGGTTCAAACACTGTCTTTATTTGATAACAATTTGATTTAACTTGATTACATCTCCATAACGATGATATCACCTCATTTTGCATTCCCAACATTCTACTATTGTCCAGGTTGAATCATTAACCAATCAGGAAGAAGTCGAGCTGCGCGCCAAGATCGAAACTCTGGGTATGGAAGTCAGGAAGCTCCCTTCCACTTCTGCTAAGCATCTCAATGAGGTAGTTTTCATCTAAATCTCAAACCCTATATTACATCTTCACCACCTCAATTTCACCAAGAAAACATTTATCATCTCCTCCAACTAGATGGAAATAGCCAAGGAGTTGGACAAACTATCAGACAAGCTCGATGATGTGGACGAGTTGATATCCTCAACCATGGCCGAAGATCCACAGGTCAGAACCCTCTTAAGCTCCACCGCAGATGTCTGGCTGCCAGTTATTACAGCAACATCCGATGAAAGACGCAATTTCACACCAGTGGTTGATAAAGGCAGCCACGAAAGCAACGGCCAAGCCTCCGACTAGGAGTCATTCCAATATCCGAGTGTTCATTTCTTACATTTGTAAAAAAGAAATGCTTTAGTAGCACATAATTTGCAATAATGTGGTTCCATTTAAACATGTTATTTTTGTTCTAGTATCAGGAAAATGCGACCTCAAAAATACCTTATACCTGATATAAGGACAAGAAAATTTCTTCTACAAATACAATGAAATGCCAAAGCAGGAAATGACTTATTTCAATTGAGGTGGATACAAAATCAAGCCAATTATCCACTTGACAAGGGATCCAATGATCCAACAAAACAACAAGAAGACAACCAGACCTGCTAAAATGGTGAGCAATGGAGGGCCCTGAGTTCTTTCTTCAGAAGGGCTTGGATTCGTATTCGATGCAAATGCACATTGCCAATTCTGTTTCTTTTGTGTTCTTCCTTCCTTCTTGAGGCTGAATGAAAATGCAGATACATAGACGAAGGCATATGGTTGAATTAGCTAGTGCCGTTAAAAAATTACAGAGTGTAAATGAGTGCTGAGTTTCTCCCATTTTCAGGCACTATTTCAAGTTTCCAGATCCTGAGAAAAATTATAGTGAAAAAGCTTGCACGGATGTTTGAGCTGTGGTTTTGCATCGATACGTTTTTGCAGGTATGAAGATTCAAGTTAAGAAGAAGAAGAAGATGAAGGTTTAACATCGAATCCAGAGAACACAAGCAAGTTAGCATACGCTGAACAGTTAATTCTGCATTTGTACTTTCAAATTACGCATCAATAATGCAGATTGAGAAAATTAATTGGAAAGAAAAACCCTAGAGCACGTCCTCAATTAATTTGCAGTGTTTGGAAACCATATCCAAAAGAAAATTCGCGAAACGTACCATAATTGAACACGTGGCTGAGAATCGCAGCGGCGAGAAGTTACAGAGGAGGCGAAGGTGGCGCGAACTCCGGTGAAGGAACGGCGGAGGCCTCCGATGGAGTGAGGAGATGCAGGGAGTGTGGCCGCCATCAGTAGCGAAGAAAATGACTTGTGTTGATGAATATTGTGTGGTGTTGTGGATTCGCCCTATCCACCATAATTGTGCTCTCTTTTTAGGGAAGCTCGAATTTCATCAAACGGCTCAAGTTTTTGCCGTAGGGGTTGTGGCGGGCCCTGTTCTGTGTTATCCACAGTCAACGAATAAATCTGCAGCAGCCTGTAAGGCTTGTCTGTTTCCGTGATATGATTGGTATCGACAACTCCGGGCTTTCCCTCGCCATAGCCCAACTCTATATATAATCTTCGTCTCACTCCGCGCTAGGGCAAAAGCGAAAAAATAAGTAGTGGTACTTCAGCGTTAGGTATGTGGCGCTGCGTCTCCAAAATCGTCAAATGGCGCCAAGTTCAGGTATGTGCTGTTTCCTATATCTTTATGTGCATTTAGGATGTTGATTGCTTGGTGTTAGCAATTGATTGCTTGGATTATTTGCAGAATTCTTTCTCCTCCTGTTTTATTTGTAGGAAGTGATATAGAAGTACTTTAAGCGTAGGCAATTTGTAGATTCTATATGCTGATAGAAGAAATTTTATTCTGGATGAATTCGAGAAATTTTATATGCCAAATTAACCATTGTTGGCTACACCACATCGGGGCGCCGGGTTGACAGCGGAGGAGGGAGTTTGAAAAATTTGCGCCATTAGGACATGGATGATCGTGATCTTATGCTATTCTTTTTTATTGATCTTGAGATTGTTTGGGGAGGAGTAGGTTTTGTCCATTGATGCTGGTTAGAGCTGAAGTGTGTTTTATTCTTTGCACTGTTGTCGATTACTGCTGACTAATCTTTGTTATATTGTCTACAGGTTAACTCTGCAACTTTTTCACTCAAAACACACAGAAGCAGTGGTGGTTTAGATTTGAGAATCAATGAAATCGGTGGTGCCGCAGTGAAGAAGTACGCCACTTCATGTGAAACATTTCCTGTAGATACTCCAGATAGGGATTGTTCTGATGTGTTGATCGATTCATTCGGGAGGCGGCATACGTATTTGAGGATATCACTAACAGAACGATGCAATCTGCGATGCCAGTACTGTATGCCTGCTGAAGGTGTAGAACTAACTCCCAACCCCAACCTTCTCTCACAGGATGAGATTATTCGTGTGGCAAACCTCTTTGTCAGTTCTGGGGTTACAAAAATTCGACTGACTGGTGGGGAGCCGACTGTTAGAAAGGATATTGACCAAATCTGCTCAAGGCTTTCCAAGTTAGATGGGTTAAAGAGTCTGGCTATAACCACCAATGGAATTATTCTGGCGAATAAGCTTCCGAGGTTGAAAGAATGTGGACTTAGTTTGTTGAACATTAGTTTAGACACATTGGTTCCGGCGAAGTTTGAATTTATGACTAGACGGAAGGGGCATGAAAGAGTGCTAAAATCAATAGATGCTGCCATAGAGTTGGGATATAGTCCTGTCAAAGTATATCTCTCAAGTTCTAAGTGCAATGTTATCTTGGCTAGCTCGATTTTGATTCCATTAGCCAGTCAATCATTTCTGCTTCAATGTCTATATTTTTCTGAAAGGAAATTCAATTGCATGCATGTATTTTGATTTTTTGTTATCTCAGGTGAACTGTGTTGTAATGCGCGGATTCAATGATGATGAAATCTGTGATTTTGTTGAGATGACACGTGAGAAGCCTATCAACGTGCGGTTTATTGAGTTCATGCCTTTCGATGGAAATGTGTGGAATGAAAAGAAATTGGTATCCTTCGCTGAAATGATGGATATTGTGGTAAGTCAGAATGTTGCTGGTTCACGGTTTTGGCTTTGCAATAATCTTATGCACTATCTAAGTGGCTTAATGATACTGCACAGGATAAAAGGTATACAGGACTTAGAAGGATCAAGGATCACCACACTGAGACAGCCAAGAACTTTAGCATAGACGGACATCAGGGTACCGTTTCTTTCATCACATCGATGACACAGCATTTTTGTGCTGGTTGTAATAGATTGAGACTTTTGGCAGACGGAAACTTTAAAGTTTGTCTGTTTGGTCCTTCAGAGGTACCTCTAATCTAATTGAATCATTGGGGTGATTACACATAAATATGTGGTATTTATGGAGTGCAACATCTTTGTAGTTTCTTGTGCTCGTTGAGGTCATGCGCCATGCATTTTGTTTGGAGTGGCATACTGCTGTATTCTTATGAGGAGATTTTTGCAGGTTAGCTTGAGGGATCCTCTACGTTCTGGTGCTGATGACAATGAACTAAAGGAAATCATTGGAGCAGCAGTATGTTAGGGTTTATATCTTTTACATAACATAAATTCATCTCACAATCACCTCATCTGAGTTGTTATTTGGATTATTGCATGACAGCTTGTTCTATGATTCTATAATCTACTGCTTCTGAAAAAATTGTTGCCAATGGCAGATCAAAAGAAAGAAAGCGGCTCATGCTGGGATGTTTGACCTTGCCAAGACTCCAAACAGACCAATGATACACATTGGTGGCTAGAGCTTATAAGCCCGGGTACGTTTGTATGTATGATGCTGTTTGTGCTGCCAACACTGCATACATGTTTAATTGCTCTGTTTTGTATGACATCAATACAAGGGTGTTTGCATGCATTGTGTTTTTACACATATCTATATATATGTGTGCACCAATGTTGTTGCCCGCTTGAGTTTCTCAATTACACAAAGCCTACTTAGAAGCTATTGGGGATGTGCATCAAGATGAAATTTTAGTAACCTGAGATTTTTCAAATACAATAGGTATGCATAACATGAGAGTTTCCCTTTAATATAATCGATGATAATACTAACTCATGCTAAATAATCTTCCAAAGTGTTTGTTATTTGTAGTCATGGGAGATGGATTTAATGCTAAAATAGAATCTGGTAAGAAGGAATTATAGTTGAAAGGTTGGACGCAAAACAGATTTGATAGTGCCACATTAGTTATCATAGATGTGATGATAAGGACTATACCTTTTGACTACAGGATGCCTCTATTATTGAAAAGGAAAATTTTATAGGACATAGTATGACGAATGATGCTTTAGAATGTTAAGGAACTATGTGTTGTCCGTCATTGCTGGTGAACACAATTGGGAAGGTGTTGGTAGTAGCATCGAAGAATTTTAGCCCCTTGATGAAATCTTTAGCAACTAGATTATTTCATCCAGATATTGAATTAACATAAGTTGAACGACGGTCATGCTCAGATACACATTAGGTTTATTTTAAGTCAGTCTCCAATTCAACCAGAATGATGTGCAAAAGTGAATAAGTTCAAACTAAGAAAACGTGCAGTGAATAATGTGACAGAAAAACAATCAAGCATGAGATTCAAATGTACATAAGGATTAATTTAGAAACTCGAGACTTGAGAACCCAAGATTAAAACCTTGAACTTACATTTTGAATCCATAAATATCTTTCAACCAACTCCGTCTGATCTGTCTTGTTTGTACCTTTGATCACCAACCTAGTCTGATCTGTCTTGTTTGTACCTTTGACCCTAATGTTACCATCGAAGGGTGTTGAAGTAAACAGTTCCTGGAAACTAGATAGTATCAGAAAGTTGCTGTTGAATCGATATTTTGCACAAGAGCGGATAAAGTTGAATGGAACAAGCCCAGATATAAATTAGCCATTTCCAGTTGGCGACTTCTGCCAAACAGAGAGTTGGCATGTCAGACATGACTAAATCTGCCTTATAGTATTGATAAAGGAGAGAAACCTAGTTTGTCTTGAAATGGATTTGGTTGAAAAGTTGAATTAAGCCAAAAATCTGAACTTGATAACAAAAAGAATGAAAATTACATATACTTTGTCAATTAGGATACAAAGATGAAAATTCTTTGTTCAAAGCACAACAAATCAACACTGTCATGGAAGAAATCCTGTGAATCCTACGGATTTTTCTGTCTATATGGAAGAATAATGTCATCTTGAACAACAAAGTCTGGAGAACTTACCTTTCACTGCAACTATTACACCTCCGTTGTTGGGAACAAATCCTGTGTTTGTGTTTCAATCTCGTAACACTGGGATCAGTCCATCGCATGACTTCCTAGGACCACGAGTAGAATCTCCATGTCTGGTGCTCCGCAACAAACACTCTTGTGGCACCTGTGATCACAACGCCCTTCCTGGGCATATCTGCTAAAATACTGACTCAACTTTCCACGGCTAGAAATTATGTTTCAGAGCCTCAATTCCAGCTCTCAAACAGTTCTGTGTGTTACAAATAAGTAAGCAACCTTCCATCAAGTTGCTTAGAACGTCAAACACCTGTAAACTACTTTTTTCCTTTGTTTTTACACAAACCTGTCTAGCAAGTATAGATTTGAAAATGAAAACATGTTGAATCATCCTTCTGTCTGCACACAAACTGTACACAAGTTTAAGTCATCGACTAGTACAGATGCCTCTCGTCAAGTGTTGTGACTTGTGAAGACCTCATTGGAAGAATCGGGAATTCATTGATATCATGTATGAATCCATTTACGTCTCCTAGGAAACTTATAAATGGGTTTGAAATCCCCATCCCCTGTATTTCATCAATCTCCTGTTTCATCCTCTGCCGCGGCATGAATGTTGATTGTAACTGCTTGCTTGTGTTATTTCTACATGTCTTTTGATGTTGCCCTAATGAGGAAACATTTTTCTCTTTCTTCTTCGTACTTCCTTGTCTGCCAGTTAGTTGCTGCACGAGCTCCCGGAAATTCTGGACATCGGTCTTGATGATTTCTGGAGCAATGATGTGAATTATACGTATCTTTGGTTTTTGTTTGACAATCGTATGAGAACTGTTGTGAATCACCAGCTTGGATGGAGCTATGGCTGTGTCACCAGATCGAGCTTTCATATTTATCTGCAGTGACTGACGAAATCCTCTGATTATAGTTGGGAAATTTTGGTTATATTGGCTGATGAGATCTTTCTATATATTTATACCGTAGAAGTAACAATAAAAAGTCGCCGTTTGGAGGCAACAACGAGGTGGGTTGCTTCTATCTCTGTAAAACTTGACTTTAAAGAACACAACTTGAGAGGCATACATGGATTTAAAAAATCCATACCTGTCAAGATCCCTTGTGGTTTACTTGCAGGAATTGAATACAGAAGTCAACCGTTATCGCGATGCTCATTCGTCGGGTATGATACATGCTTAGCCGACAGCTATATTATACTACCTTTGTCTTTCTTTCTTGTTTTTTATTTTTACCTGTTGTGTAATTTGCTTAGGAATTCTGTATGACTGAATTCTCTTTTTGTGGTGGTGTTGTTGTGAGACAGAAGAATTGTTGATGAACTTGACATTATATATTACAATAAAATTTTGTTGGATAAGTGTAATAAAGTCGATTTTTTATGTTTTTTTAGTAGATGCAAGTTGGGAATGAAGGGCTCTCATCCATCATTCATCAGGCTGTCATCCAACTGGTATGTGTGTGTGTGTGTGTGTTTGAGATCTTTTTGTATAAGTTTATGGTTGCTTTGGCATTGACTTTTGTTGTCAATAATTTAATTGTTTGTGTACATGGGAAGCATGTTGTTTGAGATCACAGTGTGTGTTTGTTGAGTTTGAGCTGACATATTTGAGGTTTGGGGGTTTATTACAAAGATGGTTTTGATTAGACAGAGAGTTTCACCTGCAATCATTTTATGTGAAGAGAAAAGCCAATGTGTATTTGGGCTTGTTCTTTTCTGCTTTTAGGTGGTTTGAATAATTTGAGACAATGGATTGAATTAATGTGTTTATAAGTTTTTAACAAAATTCTTATTATTTAATATATTTTATTTTAATTGAATTTTGATTCAAATATTATTTTGTTAAAGAAAATACTGTATGTTTTATTGAAAAACAAATTGTTAAGAAGTATAAACTGAACAATTTGCAAAATAATTACTATGAAATTATTTGAATAATCATAAATGAGTGTTTTCGAAGAAATGATTTTTGGGGTGTGATATGGTAAATTATGTCAAAAATATAAAATATATTTCCTCCCTCTGGTAATTTTTCTATTTGACTAAGGAAAATTAGTTGGGAGTTATTATTTATTTATTTTTTTAAAAAAGGAAGTTTTGATTCGGACAGATTAAAATAGAAAATGAGAAGTTTAGTAATGGATTGAGGGAGTATTATTTTAGGATTTTTTGTAATGATTTTTTATAATTAATATTTTGACTTTGGTATAAAATAGTGTCTTTTATTTTTAATTCTTGGGAATGACGACTGAAAAGGTTGGGTGAATAGAGTAACAGATTAAATTTTACTATAACAGATAATAAGCAAAAAGAGTCGCTTTGGCCGAGTGGTTAAGGCGTGTGCCTGCTAAGTACATGGGGTTTCCCCGCGAGAGTTCGAATCTCTCAGGCGACGATTTGTTTTTATCATGGTAATAGATTTATTTGAGAAATTAGCCCAACATGTAGAATTGGGAAAAAGTATTCCATTTTAATTTAGTTTATAGATATGTGTTAGTGGGGTTGGTGAAGAAGAAGAAGTAACACACACAAACACAATAATGCATGTACACACACGTGTTTAGAATTACGAGCAAGTGAGTGAGAATGATTATGATCATTCCCGCCACCACAAAGACATGAATACATATATATATTATACACACACTCATTCACCCAGCCCAACATTAATTCTCATTTCATTTCATTTTATGTACACAGAGTTGGCATGCAGTAGAGAATGCAATCATCATCATCATCAAAATCCCCAATGCTGCAGCAGCTGCTCCTCCTCCTCCTCCTCCAACTGTCCTCCTCCTCATCAGATGCAGATGCAGATGCTGCAGAGTGCGGCAAGTCACTGAGCGGGCTGGCCCCCTGCCTGCCGTACGTGCAAGGGCAGAGAACCGCCAAATCCCCCACGCCGGACTGCTGCGCCGCCCTCGAGCAGCTCCTGCGCACCACCACCACCAAAAAGTGCCTCTGCGTCATCATCAAAGACCGCAACGACCCCGACTTCGCCGCCCTCAAGGTCAATGCCTCTCTCGCCATCTCCCTCCCCCGCGCCTGCAGCCACGTCCCCGCACCTTCACCCACCAACTGCCCTGGTAATGATATCATATATATATATAGATATATATGCTAATTCATTCATTCTAATTTATATATCTAATATCTATATGATCTCGTCGTAGTTTAATTGATTAATTGATTAAGTGATATATGGTGGTGCAGCACTTCTGGGGCTTCCTCCCAATTCGCCTGAGGCTCAGATCTTCTACCAGCTTGCCAACAACAATAATACTCGAGCACCAGGAGTCCCCACCCCCACCCCCACCCCCACCCACACTGGTATATTTCTAATTATAAATACGTACACATAAAAAAATCCCTTTTAATTTGTTTTTCTTTCTCACCACATGACCGCTGATGTTTGTTTTAATTATTAGGTGCGGCGGTCGGAATCCCCCCAGCCCCAGACGCCGGAGCTCAGAAAAGCGGTGGAGGAGGAAGGGCGGGGACGTCTTTTCACATCATGCTCCACCTCCTCCTTTCTGCTCACTTATATTATCTCTCTTAATTTCTTCTATGTAATTATTATTATTGTTGTTATTAATCACTCTCTTCTTTTTTGAGAGATTTGATTTGACTTGGTTTTGGTTTGTTCCATTAACAAATAAAACTACTATTATAATTTGTTCAAAATATTTATTTCTCAATACATATTAATTATTGTACATTAATCGCTACCTGAAAATGCATATGGGATAATAGCTTAATTGAACTTAATATCCTGCAAATTAAGTTCGACAAAATATGTCATATTATACAAACTATGTGGAGCCGGTAACCTCGATTCGAATTTTGTCTCTTAATCCAACACCGTTAGGCTTTAATTAAATAAAATTGAATTCAAGTCACAGTTAAATGGCCACCCAAATCTATACCTTTAGTTTGGTCTGCCATACAATACATAGTTTTCACTTATCAAAGTTACGCCATTTAAAAAAAATGAATCATATTACATGACTTGTGCCAACTTCTAAAGCACCCAAATTCTGTATGGTCAAACAATCATAGTTAATACACAATGAAAACTATAGATATATGTTTACACTCATATATATATATATATATATATTTTTAAAAAAAATTGCATTGTTCATCTATAATTTTTTAAAAGAAAATATCATATTAAATAATAATTTTTTATTATTTTATATTTCAAATTTATTAAACTCGAAAATTATATGTATAAATGGAACTATCGAACTGTGATAATATTACCTCAAAATTCATAAAAGAAGAATAATTCAATTAAATCAAACTTTGACTAAAATATGTTCAAGAAACGTATTTAGCCAATATATTTAAAATAAATAAATAAAATTATTTGTTCCTGGGAAACTCGTAGAAAGCATGTTATGATATGATTAGCGAAATCCAACGGCTGAGATTTACTTTCAGAACAAATGATTAAGATTATACGTCGACAAAAAATCACACACATAAAAGTTAGTGTATCGACAAATTTCGATCCTCTCTCTTCCTCGGTTCCGCCATCTCCGACGCAACCCCTTTCTCTCTCAATCTCTCCACATTCGATGATTCTGCGCGCTATATAATCATCCAAGAATTAACACTGACCCAATCTCGTCTGGATATCGCTTGCAGACCGGGAAGCGAAGCTGTGATTGGGGAAAAGCGGATCTGGTACGGGCCGGAAGTTGAAGCAGGATGAGCGCGGATCTGGTGGCGGCGTCCACGCAGGGAAACCTGGACGAGCAGATTGCTCAGCTCATGCAATGCAAACCCCTATCTGAGCCCGAGGTTTTGTTCGCTTCCTTGTTTTAGCCCTATCTTATTTCAGATCTGGTGGATGTTTTGGTTTTGAGGTATCCTTATGCTGTAGATTGAGCGGTAGCTTTATATTTTTGCGATTTTGTAATTTTTGGGTGGTTTATGTTATGTCTGTGTAGTTATTATCGATTTTCTCTCATTTTTTGTTTAATTTGGGGAAGGTACTTTTTGTTAGAGGAATTGCTGAAAGTTTGCTAAGCATAGGAGCTTAAATGAGGAGAGTCAGGATTTTGTTTGATTAAGGTATGGGAGTTGGAATGGTAGTACGTAATTGATTGTTCTAATTGTGCATAGGATGTGAGTTTGGGCTGCTTACAAATTTGGGTTTGGTGAGAATTTGTTGGTGGTGAATGGAAAATCCATGGCAGAGAAAGGAGGGATGGGTTGTGGAGGGAAACACAACCATTTAAAAACATGTGATCACAGACTACTCCCATTCGAAATTGCTATAATCTAATTGGCAGCATAGAGTTTGCCACATTAGTTAAAAATGTATTTTGATAGATACTATAGGGATCGGAAATTAGAGAATTTATCAAAAGAATATTTCTGGAAAATGAATTGGAAAAATGATTAAAGTGGCTTGCCTAAAATAGGTTGCGTCGTGACTCCATATAATTTGTTGTCTTCAATACGAAACCAACGAATAAAAAGAGTGGTTGAATGTGAATAAAAAAATGGACAATCTCATTTGTTTTTATTCTAAAGTGTTATTATCTATATTGAAGTATGCTTATAATGGTAAAAATATACTAATTGTCCTTAAGTACATCTTGTGATTTGTTTCTATTACAAGGTTTTTATTTATTTATTTATATTATTTATTTGTTTGTCATGCATATGGATAATTGATGCCCCTTAAAAGCTTCCACATGCACAGCCCTACATCCCTCTAAGTTTTGAATTAATTATGTTAAGCTATCATGTACTAATATTTTAATAGGCACGCTGTTTCTCTTAACTATACCCAATATCATAGGCCAGACGTGAAAGAAAATGATAACAAATTTTGTTCAAAGTGGTGGAACACCAATTGTATATGTCATGTCCAGCCTCTGTCAACAATCAAGAATCTTTTCCTTCAGGTGGACACAATACTTGAATTACGAAACCATCAACATAGTCAGGATGGAGAAAATACCCATATATCAATATGCAAAGACCTTGGAAGTTTTCAACATTTATTACTTTTCCAAAAAGCAACAATCCTGAGATTTTCCTCAAATTCGAACTTCTATAAATTAGTGGGATAAGGCATTATAAGAAGCTTTTCCATTCCGAAGCTTCTGTTTTCCAAATGAGAAATTGTTGCAACAATAGAATGAACTTCAGGGATTTGTTTCTAAATTTCAAGATTGAGTAAGAGGAGGTGGTGGATGCCGAAGGCTTTAACAAAACACTTTCCCAATGTTGTAAGTGTAAATATGAAATAACAGTTTTCAAAGAAGCCATTCATGGTGGTGTTTTAAGGCATTTTATGACAAATTTTGCGATCAAGCGATCTTAGTAAGTCAGGCATTGGACTTGTGCTTCAAAAGCGAATTGATTCTGCCAGAAGTCAAATAATATGGCTACTGCGTTTATGGAATCACAGTTAGTATGATTACTTGAGGCCATGTTAACTTTACTTGATGGGGATCATGGGCTTGATATTCTAAGGGTTTGCTTACTATGGGGTATTAATTAAATTTACACAAGAATTAATAAATTCCCCATAGTGAACACACCCTAAAGGTTTATTTGAGCTTCTGAAGTGATTAAAAAATCCTAGAGTAGGAAGAAATTAATTTCAAAGCTCATACTGGGCCCTTAGTTGATCTCAGCCCATTAAACTGAACTCATGTTAGCATTGACGTAGAGAAGATACTATATCAATCATCAATTTGAAATTGGTCAGAGTAGACTATGATATGGATTGGAGTGATAACTGATATGTGTGCTGATTATGTTAATCTTGCTATGATTTTGTTTCAAGTAATGATAATTATCTACTTCATATCTACATGGGGTGAATGTATTACAACTCAAAAGTGGAGTAGAGCACTGCATGTTGTGCTGAAATGTCGTAGCTCAGCTCAGTGCGGCCGTTATTATATTTCTGGTTAGATAACGTGTACTTAATTATGGATTTGTTTAATACTGACGGATGTTTTCGTTATTACATAGGCTTATTGTACCTATAAATTAATCCCTCATCACATGTTCCCTTTTATCATGCATATTTTTATTTGAACAGACTAACTTAGATTGCATTGCCCATTTTGCAAATATAGGTTAGAGCCCTATGCGAAAAGGCTAAGGAGATACTTATCGACGAAAGCAATGTGCAGGTATGTGTGTTTTTTGAATTTCATGCAGTTTAACTAGATATTTTCTTGTTAGCGTATGAACCAATCCAGTATACAATATCTAGCCAGTAATTTGCAAATATAAGTTAGAGCCCTATATTTTCTTAAATTTGACCAGTTGAAGTAACCTAAACAGTAATGCCTTATTTTGTGAGAGTTATTATTATTTGTTTACTCAGGACTGTTTCTGTAATTCAGAACATGGTTGACTATTTGCATATCAAATCCTCGGCAATTTAAGAAGCATCTGTGAATGTTGTTGTACTGATGACCCAACATGAAGATATGCAGATGATGGTTTCTAGCCAAGTATGATGAAAGTTAACTAGATTTGAAGCATTTTGAGTTCTGAGCTCTGATGCACATGGCCTATTGACAATATGCATTTTTTTAGTCATTTGAACCTTCTAGGGCAGTTGACAGTTGTAAGAGCGCCGCTAACTGCATTGATATTTCGTGACAGCATTCACATGGGGTTCTATAGCCCTGAGAACCCTTTAGACTGCTTTACGCCATTCTGCCTGAAATTTGAATGCCCCACTAGGTGTTCAAATTCAATCTTGCCTTGGCTTCTAATTTTTCATTTCTTGCTTGTTGAGACGATGAATCTTTTATCTCAGGATTTAGTGAAAAGCAGTTTAGGACTGAGTATTGTCAATGTTTTATAACTATTCATTGTTAAGAGAGACGCTGACTTAAGCTCTTTGTTGCTGGATGCAGCCTGTCAAAAGCCCTGTAACAATTTGCGGTGATATTCATGGCCAATTTCATGATCTTGCTGAACTTTTCCGCATTGGAGGAAAGGTACATTAATTGACATTCCTTGGCTTTCCTTTGCTCTGTTCTTTTTCAGCTTTATAAAGTGTACTTCTTAGTGCAACTGCAATTAAAGTATTAGACTCAACGACGGACATGGTCCTAATGTCCTATCATATCATAAAGATCATAATTGAAAAAAAATCATATTCAGTTGCATGTTATGGCTACTTTATTATGAATTTGTTGTTTTGTGATCCTCAGAGTTGTGAAAGCTACTTTCATATTCAATATCAAATTGTCTTATATAATATGATACTTTGTAATGCACAAAGTGGTTTATAGGCAGTTGCACCAGTTGTCTGCATCTAATATATGTTGTTTTTCTTGTTGGCAGTGTCCAGACACAAACTATTTATTTATGGGAGATTACGTTGACCGAGGGTACTATTCAGTTGAGACTGTTACTGTAAGTTTAATCAAGCTGCCACTGCTCCATGTATTATTTTCATCTTTCGTGTTCCATCTGTGTGCTCTTAGTATTTGATCACACTTCTTTGGGGACTGGGGATTAGAGGGTAGGTTGATTGGTGTCATGATGCATCAGTCTGTAGTATGACTAATGGGAATGCCTAATATATCTTGCTTTATTTCGTCAGAACAGCTGTTATTGAGAGATGCTTATGGACTTGTTTCCTGCAGCTTTTAGTGGCATTGAAAGTACGCTATCCTCAGCGTATTACCATTCTTAGAGGAAATCATGAGAGCAGACAGGTCAGTCACACATGGTTATTTTAAAAGTACATGCTTGTGGGATGCAACACGAAAATTTTACTCCTTTAATGGGCTTGAAATCTGATTAAAATCTAATTTGTGCAGGGCATTTCTGAATATTGCATAAGATTCGAAATGAAATTTCTAATTGAGAGATAATTTCTCTGTAACAAAAGCAGATATTTTTAGTTATCTTAAAGACTAGAGCATAGTTTGACCTCAGTGTCAGTTGTCTTTTCTTTGTGTGTTTGTTTGGGGGATTGGATTTTAAATCTACTATTCATCCCATTCTTTCTTCCCAAAAACATCAAATCAAACACCTATTTTTCATTTTTTATGTTATACTAAAAATCAATTTTACATTCAAAACATCGTATCAACACCTATTTATATCACATCATACAACTATTCAAATTCAAAATTTTTACTATTCAAATCCCAACTCAAAATCCAAACCCCCAAACAAACACACCCTCTTGTTATATTTTGATTAGTTACAAAGTCTAACAAACAACTTTCAACGTCTGCAGCACACAACAAGACTCCTTCCATATTGAAGTAAAAATTTCCAATTCCTTTTTCTTTGTTTTTATATGCACTTTAAAAGTCTAACAAACAACTTTGTACGTCAGCAGCACGCAACAAAACTCTTTTATATGTTTTGCTTACGTTGTTGACTGAATATGTCTCTCTGCCTGCTGAGCTGGTAAATGTTCTGCAGTATTCCTTGTGCTAATCACTAGTTTGGTTGGCTTGCAGATTACTCAAGTTTATGGGTTTTATGATGAATGTCTCCGAAAGTGAGTTTTTATTTTAATCTAATTGTTCTGCAGAACTTTTTCTTATTTATTTTGAATTTTGTTTAAACGTACATTCTCATCAAGAACATTTGCAAAGTGTTTAAATGGTAACCGAAAATGAATTTTGGATGTTTATTTTGAAAGATTAATTTGGTTCATGGACTGGTATTGGAGTAACTGTAGAATTTTTTTGGATTAACAACTCCATTGAGACTCCAAATTTGATTTCAGGTATGGAAATGCTAATGTCTGGAAGATATTTACCGATCTGTTTGACTATTTCCCTCTGACTGCTTTGGTAAGTAAGACATTCCTTTCTTTCTTATTGTTCTCGCATAGTTTCTTGATGCTTCGGGTTAGTACTATTTTTGTGACTTGTGCAGTTGATATAGGCCAAAAGTTCATATTAATTATTTTCTTTCATTTTTCAGTTGCATCTTACTTTGTTACAATTAACCCCACACAAGTGAATACTAACGTTAGTCTTGGATTAGGTCGAATCTGAAATCTTTTGTCTCCATGGTGGACTCTCCCCATCCATTGAAACCTTAGACAATATAAGAAACTTTGACCGGGTTCAAGAAGTTCCACATGAAGGTCCAATGTGTGATCTATTGTGGTCTGATCCTGATGATCGCTGTGGGTGGGGTATATCTCCCCGTGGTGCAGGATACACTTTCGGCCAGGTATTATCTTCTTCTGATTGATCATTTCCATTCACCACTTCTCCTTGCAGCCTATCAGTTCTTCAACGAGCCCGTCTCTTTAATACAGGACATATCAGAGCAATTTAATCACACAAACAGCTTAAAGCTGATTGCTAGAGCTCATCAACTGGTCATGGAAGGATATAACTGGGCCCACGTAAATATATCACACCCCCTTCCTATAATATGTAAAGATGACAAAATCATTCTATTACAAGAAATGGAGGTTTAATTTAATTTTATTTTTGTTCTCTACTGCAGGAACAAAAGGTTGTCACTATTTTTAGTGCACCAAATTATTGTTACCGGTGTGGGAACATGGCTTCCATATTGGAAGTTGATGATTGCAGAGAGCATACGTTTATCCAGGTTTCACCCTCTTCTCCACTCCCCAATTTCGTCACATCAATTTCCCTCAATAACTCAAAATTTCTTCTTTCATGGCAGTTTGAACCAGCTCCGAGGAGAGGAGAGCCTGATGTAACTCGGAGAACTCCTGATTATTTTCTCTAGAGCCAGCTCCATGATCATTGGTAGTTTCGAATTCTCTGCAATCACATTGAGCTCAAAGTCCTGGCAGGCCATGTGTTGTTTCGAGCACGTGCAAGTCAATCTTGGGAAGAGGTACCCACCCAACTTTCCTTCTCCGCCCACCCACCCATCCACCCTATATTTTAGGGCACCTTATAAATGACAGGTTGAGTTAGCAATGGATTTGTGTGCATCATGTCCTGTAGTCCTCTCTTAATTGTGTATCACTTTCATCTTCTTCTTCTTCTTCTTCTTCTCTCTCTGTTCTGTTCTGTTGTTTTTGTTTTTTCTTCGATTCTTGGGACACATGTTCTGTTCTATAGAATTCGATTATTATAAGGTTGTCCTGCCAGCTGCTGTTGGATCTTATACTCGAGCTTGTTAAATCGCTACAGGTTATGTCTTATCTTTGACACATGATGACATTATTGTTCAAAGAAAATTATGTTTGGATTGGTAGACCATACTATAAGTTATTGTTTCTTATATATATATATATATATAGATATAGGCACACACACACGACAGAGGGAGTATATTGAAATATTGTTTGAATAAAAATTTCAAATCATAAAAATTTCAAATCAAAATTAGTTTTTGTATATATTGCTTTTTTTTTTTTTTTTTTATTTATTTATTATGACGTGGGGATTCCTACCCCAATCGAACCTAATAATATGCAAACTAAGCTCTGGGCTCGACAGGCATTCAATAAGAACTCAGAAGGCTTGTTTATTCATTTCAATTACAGCTCCGTAATTAATTTAAACAAAGTTTTGATCTTGAAAATAATAGTTCTTTTTTTTGTTTGCTTTTTCTGGTACAATTTGTTTGTTTGTTTTTTAATCACATCTGGTATTAGTTTTGTTTGGTTTGGGATTGTGTAATAGTAGTTTGATATTATATTTTATAAGAGAAAAATTTATATGTTTTTATTGGAATTATATGCAAAAAATATATACATATATACATATATATATATATATATATTGAAAAAACAGAAATTAAAATCAAACACAGTATGAATTTGATTAACATTAAAATAACTGAACTGAGTATGAGCTCATTTTAAATTAATATTTATGGAGTACTAAATGCGGGCGGTGTTTTCATTTCTAATTATTTTTTATTTCTTAAATTATTATTTATTTTAAAATTCTCAATAAACATATATATATATATATATATATATAATATTATATTTAGTTATTTAATTTCAAAAGTTCAAAAACAGAGATAATTTGGACCATTTTGTCTACATTTCCCCCTTATTCCTGACATAATAAATCCATTTATGTTTCAAATTTTGGAGCTGATTATGCAAGAAAGATATTTGAATTTTTTATTGATAAGAGTCATAAAGTTTCATTTGATTGACAAATCCCACAAATAAATATATATACTAGTGCTAATAAAATGCATAAAAAGAATATAAAGAGAAAGCTAAAAATTAATGATCAAAGAAAATTTTAAATAACTTGTTTTTTTTGAGTAAAAATAAGAAAAGAAAGCATGATGAATTAGAATAAAAGGGTTTTCAAAACATTATAGGTTTATTTTTTTATTAAAAAAAAAAAAGAAAAAGAAAAAGCAAGAAACTCATAGTAGTATTAGAGATTTTTATCACTCTTAACTTAGGAATAAATCATTTAATTACATCCTTACACAAATGTCCCATAAATTTCCAATCACCATTATCACTTATATAATCACCCCACTTCTTGCATTGTACAAAAACACATATTACACACACATACATATATATATATATATATGTGGATGTTGTCCTAAAAGAAAATAGATTTCGATTTATTTACCTTGATCATATTCCTCAACACTTGTCTATAATTTTTCACCATTCTCCTCCACTTTAATGATTTACCATCTTCGCCAATTTTCCTCACCACCATTTTCATCTCACATTGGGAATTTTGATTTTGATGATCTTCTTGTCTTCGTTGTTGTTCTTCGTCTTTAAAGTGTTGCGCCAATGAACATCTCCCTTCAATAAGATCTTTCAAGTTATTCTTTGGTTGTTGATGATGACAATTATAATTGTTGTCCCGATCATCCTCCGATGATTTTTCTATTGCCAAGTGATCCGAGGACTCGAATTCCTTGTCGAACTCTTCTTGGGCCCCTATATTGAGGGTGTTAGGCTTCCTTGTTCTTCTTGACATTGAGATGTTGTAATGGGACTTTTCCATTACTTTAGGGTTGTTTGATGATCAAATGAAAGGATTAATTTAGTCGAAGATAAATGGGATTGAGTTTAGGAGAGTGTTTTTGGTTTGATTTATTAAAGGGTTTTTGAAAAATTGTATGTATGTGGTGAAATGTCATTTTATTTTTGGTTGGTGTATTCCAACAAAATTGATGAATCAACCTCTTCAACTAAGGATTAATTTTCACACTACTTATGAGAGTAATTTCTTGATATTAAAATCAAAATGAGTTAATTCTTTTATGTGTACTCAAATTCACCAAATTTGTTTTCTATAGAAAGAGCTTTTGGGTGTATTTTACATGTCACACTTACATATAACATTCATAGTAATGAGAAAAATAAAATAAACTTAACTATGTATAATTTTATTATGATGCTAATTTAAAGTCATCTAAAAAACTTAAAAAATAAAAAAAATCTAATGTCAAGTCAATATAATCATAGTACTCAAGCTTGATTAGGAAAGTATTTATTTTAAGTGTGATTTTATTTTCTTAACTATGCAATATGACAATTTCTATAAAAGTATCTTATTATTATTATTATTATTATTATTATTATTATTACAAAATATTGTATTTAAACTACTATTCAATTTAAAACTCAAAATCAAACCGACTATTCATTTTGTATTTGGTTTATATATGTGTGTATATATAATGCTAGGGGTTTATTTGGTTTTGTTTTGAATTTAAATTTTAATTTAAATAAAATTTTGATGTAATAATTATATATATATTTTTTTTATTAAAAATTGTGCCGATTAAATATATAGTAAAATTATTTATTTGAAATAACAAACAAATTTTGATCATGGTTCCCAATGAACATTTTAATTATTCACTCTACCGTTAACAATAACACTAATTAATTATCTCATAAATTTATCATATTAAAATAATATTTAAAGTAAATATATATATATATATATATATTAAAAAAACCAAGCAAATCTTTATTTTCAGGCACAATAAGTACAAATAAATCACCTTTTTGATGGAATATATATGAATATTATTTTCATAATGCATATTTCAGTACATAGATTCGATTTTTTTTCACTCCAATGAGACGTTTTTTTGTCTTTTCTTTTCTATAAAAGAGAAAAATCATATATAAATAATTTCACTAGAAATGAAATCTTTAAGTATAGGGACTGAACTAAATAGTAAATGTTCAATCCGACTTTGTTTATGTAAGATCTTGTTTGGTCTCCTATTATTTAATTATTTTTTCTCCACAAAATTATTAATTCAAACATCTTTATTGTATAAAAAAATAAAATTTTATTTTAAATATCACATAAAAACACATATTCATATAACTTCAAATATTACATTAATTTAAATTCTGTTATCATTTAATTTTCAAACCTCAAACTCAAATGAAACCTTTTTTTCGTTTTGTACTATGCCTTTTGAAAGCCTATATCGCATTATTATTATTCTTATTATTATTATTATTATTATTATTATTATTATTCTTGAAAAGTATTCATATCCAAAATATTTCCTAAATTCAAAACAATTTTCTTAGCTTAATATTACTCCCTCCGTCCCAGATACCGTGTCCGCTACACTGTAGACACGGTATTTTAGGGGTTGTAATTAGTAGATAATTAAGAATGTATTAGTGAAAATAATTATCCTATAATATAAATAATTATAAATTAAGATTAAAATAACTAATTAGTTTAATTAACATTTAAAAAAATAAAATTTAAAAATTTAAAATGAGATTAAAGTGTGTAATATTTTCCAAAAAAAAAAAGTGACATGGTACATGGGACGGACAGAAACGGCAATGTGGACATGGTATCTGGGACGGAGGGAGTATTACATATTACTCCATCCGTTCCACATTTGATGTCTGGTTCGTAGACACGAAAATTTAGGATAAATATAATTAGTAGATAATTAATAATGTATTAGTGAAATAATTATTCTATAATTGTAGATTAGAATTAAGATAACTAATTAGTTTAATTAAAATTAAAAAAAAATTTAAATTAAAAAGTTTAAAATGAGATTATAGTGTATAATCATTTTCCAAAAAATGAAAGTGACATGAGATGTAAGACGGACAAAAACGGCAATGTGAACATATTAGGTGAGACAGATGGAGTATTATTAGTATTATTATTATTATTATTATTATAAGTATGATTATAATTTGACCAAAATGTTATGTTAGTTGGCTAAAATATATGATTAGTTGAGGATTTGTAATTTATTACCTAATTTAGTAAATAGGAAATTGGTTTGTGTGAGTTAGTTGTGAAATTGTTACAACTAATCATATTATTATTGCAACATTAAAATTAAACATGATAATGTTTAGGTCTTTTAGCACATATTAGAAGAATTATTAATAAATCATATCATTATTATGTACACATTAATAAGTGATTTTGTTATGCCTAAACTAATTGGGATTTGAATTAAATTAAATTAAATAACGTTACTACTTCAACTTCAAATAAAATGCATCGATTAAGCTTCTAATTTAAATAATCCTGTATACGCATGAATAAATGAATATTAAATTTATTTAATATATATTAATAAGCCTGATTTATTAGTGTAATTATTTTAATTGTCCTTATTATTCGAATTTCAGGAATTGAATAACAAACTGTTAATAAGAAAAAAAATATACAAAAGCCCATGAAGAGCTGCCGACGAAAGTTTTGAACACTCCCGGGATCCGAAGTCCACGCTCGATCAAAACCACACCAGTGAAGGGCACAGGCCCCGAAGTCCCGGCGCTCTCAATTAAAGAGTCACTGTCACTCGATTGCAATACATTTAAGTCAATTGGACAAAAATTGCACCAACCAGGCGGGGTAAAATCGTATTTTCACACAAAAACTTTTTGCAGCAGTAGAGATGTCTCTTTCAGAATTTACTAATTTATGATACATTCTGCGTCTTACTACTCGTATCTCATTTCCTGAAAACACCGTGGACCTCAAGACCCGTAGAACCTAACAAGAGTAAAATGCCGTGGGCAGGACCTGAAGACCCTGGACCGTATAAAAAGATGAGCAACCTCGTCGTCTACGCTCATTTGTCCTCCCCTTCAGCTTTACCCACTGCCACCTCACGAGAGAAGAAATCACATCCCGAATTGACACGTGTCCCAATGGTGACCCTCCCCAGGCCCTTTTTGAGATTCGGCCTGGCCCCCCTACCCCCACCCCCACCCCACCCCGACTTCCTCACCTGGTAATGGCGGATCGGAGGAGAAAACCCTTTTGTTTGATTTCTTACAGCTAAAACTAATTCTTAGTATTTCTAGTTAATGTTCCGTTGAGGATATCCATGGCTTCTCTCACACCTGGAACTCTCCAGAAGCTCTTACAAAACGCCGGTAATAAAGACTTCAAGCCCGCCGGCGAACACCGCTCCCCTCTTCTTCAGGCACGCTTTTTCAAACTTTCAGTCTTCTTCTCCGGTGAAAAAAAATAAAAACATCAAATCTTTCCTCCATTATTTCAACTTGGGCTAGGTTTTCCGACAAAAAAAAAAGGTTCTTACATTTGGATTTATTTATTTGCATTTTCTTGCGTATTTTAAATTCTTGGCAGGTGATTAGCATTGTGCCTTGCTTAGGAGACGATCCATGGAAGAGCAGGGGATTTTTTCTGAGGGTTTCAGATTCATTACACTCAGCCTACGTTTCAGTGTCGGAAGAAGACGTGGAATTGATTCTTAGCGACAATGTCCAATTAGGGCAGTTTGTTCATGTATCTTGGGTGGATTCAGGTTCCCCTGTTCCTGTGCTTCGTGGAATAAAGCCGATTCCGAAGAGAAGGCCCTGCGTCGGAGACCCTAAGGATTTGATTTCCAGTGATTTTCTCAACGCCAAGAAGGTTGTCGAAACCGCCGGTAATAAGACGGCGCCGAAATCCGCCGGAAAAGTTAAGAAAGTTAGTGAGAAAAGTAGCAATGTTAGAAGGCTTTCTTTCGGAAATTCGAAGGTCGCCGGCGGCGAAGGGAGGAGGTTGAGCTTGGATTTGGCGAGGAAGGGGTGGGATTCGAGCCCGATTCGCGACAAAATTGGAGGGAAAATCACGACGAGGATCAAATATAAGGATGATTCGTCGAATTCGGACAATGTGAGTTCGATAGCTTGTTTGGATTGTTGTCGTTTGGTCGAATTTCGAATACAAGGATTTGGTTATATTAAATGATCGGTTTCATCTAAAAGCTTGAGCTGATATGAAATGCAAGTATCGATCTTTGCAGGTTGTGGCGAGGGCGGAGGATTCGCCGAAGACCTTGCCTCTTAAGACCAAGAATGTTATTACAGCCTCGCCGAAGGTTCTAACAAAGCCGCCGGTGAGAAGTGTTCGATCATCATCGGATGACAACGATCCTATTCGTCTGAATAAAGTGCTCGTGAATTTGCCTGAAAGGAAGACGCAGTGGGATGCGCTCCCGTCTATGATATCTAACCTCGGGAAGGTAGTTTTGAACGCCGATTGTCGATTGTTGATTCGTATGCTCGTAAATTCCGATATTCAATTAACGACGAGTCGAGCCCGTTTGTTTGTTTTCAGGAAGTTGGAAGCTACAAGAATCTCGCGTTCGCCTACGCAGCCAACGCTTTGGAGGAAGCGTCGATTTATGAAGCCGTCATTCGATGCATGAGGTATAGCAACGGTTTTTTTTCTAGTGAAGTATCTTTATTACAAGCGCGAGTTGTCTCGACGAATTCCCGTCCCCTGTTTATGCAGCACATTTGCAGAGCTATGCGAGTTGTCTAGGAATCGCACTGCTGGTCCGCTCGTCAAACAGTTCCTTAAAGTATACGAAAACATAAAGACAACGTCTAAACACATCTCGTCAATGATACATTCAAATCGAGACATCTCTAGCGCGGGGATCGTCGACAATTCTACTCGTAATAACACAACCGCATCGCTGTGGATCCGCGCAGCTGTCCAGACAGAGCTCTCGAAATTCTCCTTGTACTCGAGAGGAGATGACGAAAAGGGTCACTACATCATTGTCGAAAACAATGCTCCGGAGGAAAGTCGGTTGTCCAAATCCAAAAATATCGTAAAAAAGCCCGTCTCGAAGTTTAAGGAAACGTCGAGAGCAGATTCCCGGCCCGTCAATTGGGTGTCGGGTTCGGGACTAAAGCAGGCGGCGGAATTAGCCGAAGCGCTATTGTCGTCGTCCCGATCGTGGTTCTTGGATTACCTCGAGAAGTCTTTGAGCAACGGGTTCGGTTTGGGCAGGGACGACGGGTCGAGCGCCGGGATCCTTCTCGGGCAGCTGAAGAGCGTGAATCGATGGTTGGACGAGGAAGGGAGCCGGGGGGATGCGAGGATCGGGAGGTTGAAGAAGAAGCTTTACGGGTTCTTACTCGACAGTATGGCGGAGACTCCAGTGGCGGCGGCGAGCCGCCGGAGGTAGGTGGGTAAGTTAGTTAGATTAAGTAGGAGAATGCTAACTTAGGACAAGTTATAACGTTGGTAGATATTGATCCCACGTTTGGGCTGTTGGAATTGAATTAATTAATCTCTAGTAATTAATTCATCTTTTGAAATTTTTTGAGTTAAAATATGAACAATTTATCATACAATGAATTCTGTATTAATTATTGATTAATTTGAACAATATTTGTATTTTTTCCGTAAGATGTTTATTGATATAATACATTATTTATCTAATATTATTTCAATAATTTATACGAAGAGCAAAATTGAATGTGTGTGACGAGTTTGTGTGGATCGAATGCCTTCCCACATTGCCTGCATCAATTGAAGTATTATTTATAATAATTTCAATATATAAATATTTAATACTATTGTTATAATGTAATAATTAAAGGACTTACGAGCAAATAGGCAACTTCATCATTTGGGTTTTGTCGTTAAATAATTCGCCAGTCCTCTTATCGCTTCTCTTGCTGAAAAAAAAAAAAAAAAAAAAAACGTTTTCTTTTAAATTTCTTTTAATAATTATGAAAAATAGAAAATGAAATAATTACCAGAATGTGAATTTAGGGTTTTCCGATTGGGAGATGATGATCTGAGTGGAAGCTGTAGAGAAACACTTGATGTGGACGATGAAACCGTCAGCTCTCCTCTTCTTCCTCTGCTGTATCATCTTCTTCATCTTCACTTCTCCACGTCTCTTATTATTATTATCAGAGGCACCACAGTCCATCAGATTCCTGAAACCTGCAAGCAACGGACATTTCTTCTTCTTCTTCTTCTTCTTCTTCTGCTGCTTCGTGCTGGTGAAGATCTGATCCTCGTGGCTTTCCAATGGAGGTACTACTGATGCTGCAAAATAATAATCTGAGGTTGCACTGATCCATGAATTCTTCATTCTCCCCATTTCAATTCTAAGAATTGATCTATTTTCAATTTGGGGAATGATTCTGATCGAGATCAGTTAGTTAGGGAGGCCGATCGAAGGATGTGAATTAACCCTAATTTCATTTATTTGTAAATATATATAGGAAGGTCAATTACATACATCGAATCAAGGATGTAATCCATATATTTAATCCAAACTGAAATGTTTTAAACATAGATAATTTGATTTGTATTTGAATGTGATTTTGTCAGAATTTTCTCAATTTTAATTCGAGCAATGGATAGGTATGTTTCTATGAAAGGAAATTTGGCTAAATTTTTTAATTTTGTATGAGATACGAGTGATCAGGTTATTTACTTTTTCCAGAAAATCTCCAATATCTAGCCTTATCATCCAATTGGGAAATTTTATTTTATTGTTTTAAATTTATAATTGTTAAATAAACTATGTTAATTGTGATAATTTTATTTAAATTTTGTTTTTTTTTTTTTTTGTATAATACGAGGAACTGGTGGTGTTAGTAATATATAAAAAAAAAAAAAAAAATTATGCTGAATATATATATATCATATTATGTGTGTATATTTGTATTTCTTTAATAATTTCATTGGAATATTATCAAATCACATACTGTATGTGTATTGCATGTAAATTCATTGGAGAGTAAATATTCAAATATTAGAGATGATTTTGTTCCATTTTCATTGCTTTTAATTGTAACACATTCATAGGGATAGATGGACCCGGAAACATCTGGATTTGAATGAATGACCTCTTACATTTACAAGTTAATTCCCCGAACTAACAGACCATCACTTACAAGACATTTGATGATAATTAATATTATTACAAATGCTAACACATTGCAACTATCAAAACTCGTCCCTCGAATATTATTGAGTATCCTCCATTTAGATTTGATGTTTGAAACTTTCTTATCTATAAGGTATGAAGAACTATTTCACTTACAACTAATTAGTTTTAAGTTAGAATCATAAATTCCCTCTTAACGTATATATTATATATAATGATTTCTTGAAATCTTGACAATAGACAGACAAGATATCAAAAGTTGCAAGAAACCAAATCACAAACCTGAAATATCCAGCAACCCTCTAATTTACTTCGACAGCTGTTTATCTACTATCTTCGCCTTTCCGGCCCCCGGACCAGAACAAACTGTACCTCTCCCCCCTGGCCCGGCCCGAATCCCTTAAAGCTAGACATTGAGATTTGGTGGCATGTCTATTTATGTTAAGTCAACAAAGTGTATTATGTGGAGAGAGCAGGTTTATGCTCAGTGCTTCAAGTTAAGCAAAACTTAATCAACCTTGACTTCTCCCAATAACAACACAAAAAAATCTGTAATTTTCTTGCACTCAATCATCTCTGTAATTGATTCACAATTTCACCTATAAAAACACCTCATGAACGTTTTAACTCCAACCCCATCAAATAACCATAATAACCCACATTGCATACATTCTTCTCCCAACACCTTTCTGCACCAATGTCATCTCCAACCCGGGCCATCGCCATCGTTGCCGCCGCCGCCATTTTCATCCTCCTTGTGGCTGCGCCGCCATCTGCAGCGTTAACGTGCAGTGACGTGCTCAAGGACATGAAACCGTGCATCACCTACCTCAAAAGCGGCAGCGGGATGCCCCCCTCGGCTTGCTGCACAGGGGCCGGTAATCTGGCCTCAGCTGCCACGACCACTGCCGACAAACAGTCAGCTTGCGCCTGCCTCAAGAACGCGGCAAAAAATGTTACGCCGAAGCCCGAGCTCGCAAAAGCCCTTCCGGGGAACTGTGGGATCTCACTCCCTTTTGAAGTTTCCCCAAATGTTGATTGCACTAAGTATGTTTTAATCTTACCAGCTTCTATTATCCTTAATTTAGGGCCAATGTTTGTTCTGACATTATGAGAGTTATTCTATGGCTGTGCAGGGTTACCTGAGGCGATTGGGAATGGTCGAGGTTGTACTGAGGAGGCAGAGAGTCTAGAGGTTTGATCAAGATGGAATAAACAGGGGATCGATCTTACATCGATCCTCCTATATAGTTTGTGTCGAATAATTAAATGTATGTTCTATTTGTCCTGCGGATTGACTATATGCATCAATGTCCTATCTTTCTCTGCCTCAGAATTTCGCCTACTCTAAATCCTTATTTACATGGGACGATGACAACTAACTTACACCTAGAAAAAAATCACGTAATAAAATCTTGCCAAGGCGACGAATCTACTATGCAAACAAACATCTCATTGCAACAAGAACAGGTAATTAGTAGACATAATGAACGCATGCATCCCTAAAGCCGAATTTTCAGTCAAATCAAGTTAATAATGCATTAACTGGCTGCTCAACATGGTGGGGGGGGGGGGGGGGGGGGGGGGGTTGTTTGGAATATCATACTACAGTAAAATAATTGTAAAACAGGAATTAGTCTGCAGAATAAGTGTCACATTTGTCTGTCACATAATCGATCAGCCTTACCACTATTTTTACGAAATTTCCTGTCGGTTTGTGCACATCAGCTATCACAACACTATACACAAAGAAAGTCCCGATGCTGCTGCTTGTGCGAACTTGGTCAGTTTTTAAATTGGATTGCACCGAAGATTTTTCTCATAGAACTCAATCAGCTGCACAATGACAAAAGCATCAAGAACTTAGATACACTGTATACACACCAGCTGTTGAAATTAAAAATTTTAAAGGGAGCACTTGCCAAGAGAGGATTGTTAACTTTCAAGAATTTGTTATCGACTATAACTTTGGTTCCATCAGACCTGCAGCCGCCATGGAAACACATGAGACTTGAGAGAAAAGAAAATCAATATGAATGCATGCATCCCTAATTTGTGGACATCCAAGAAAATATACAAGAAAAAAAGAAACTCTAATGCATGGGTTTGCTACACCAAAAACAATGAGAATCGAGCAAAAGTCAACATCCCTAATTATTGTATGCTCATAGTGTCATGCAAATTCTTCGAAGGAAAGAAATTCATATCTTTCTAGTTTTAAAAAAGAAATTGGCAAACCAAAACTCCAAAATGAACCAGATATTTCAGTACAACTTCTATAACCAAACTTGTCTTGGTTTAGCCGTTCTTGCTATTAAAAAGTGGCCCATGTAGGAAAATGGATCAAAAAATAGTCCTAATGCAACTATTATCTGCCTCTCATAATTATTTATACAAAAATCAAGTACATATATACATACATGCCCACATACAAATTTATGCACTTTAAGAAACTAATTATATACTGTATTAGTATCTTTAAAATTAATATTTACAATACACCGAGACTCACATAGAACTCCCAGTCCGCGATTACAAAGCATCAATCAGTATCATAAAAATTGGCATATAACCTTCGCATTAGTAACAAATTTGTCTAAGAGGATTCTGTTGTCATGTTACACTAAGCAACAAGACACTTCTTACAGAATAGAACTAAAAGGAAAAGTATGTAAAGGATATCAAATTTCTAACACTAGAAAAATAATAATACACAATTACCAAAAATCCAAAAAATTGTCATTATTTAAATTAATTTTTAACACCTTGCCTCACAACATTCTGGATATTGTGATGAAAATTAAGTGGCTGCGCTAAAAACCAAGTATCAAGCATGTGTCAGGGAGAAATAAAGATCACTCATTGGATCCTTAGAACATGAACTTACTGCCTACCAATGTATGACTAAGAAAACTAATAAATGCTCGTGGGATACAAAGCTTTTTATTGTACTCCAGGTCCAATACAGGAAATTCCTAGTAGATAATAAGATACTTGTTGGAGTTAGATATGATATTTATTACTCCCTCCGTCCCACATACCGTGTCTGTTACACTGTAGATACGGTATTTTATGAGGGATATAATTAATAGATAATTAAGAATGTATTAGTGAAAATAATTATCCTATAATATAAATAATTATAAATTAAGATTAAGATAACTAATTAGTTTAATTAAAATAAAAATAAATAAATTAAAAAATTTAAAATGAGATTAAAGTGTGTAATCATTTTCCAAAAAAGAAAAGTGATATAGAATGTGGGACGGACAGAAACGGCAATGTGGACATGGTATGTGGGACGGAGGGAGTAAAATTTATTTATTACCTTTAGAATTTCCTCTTAGCATATTAATTCCTAGTGAATCGTGATGTTTTTTATTTTTTAGTTTTGGTGGTGGAGGGAGTAAAAGCTATAGTTATTAAGACCATGGAGAATAGCCAAGATAATACATATTTTTCCATATACTAGAGAATAACAAGAGAAGAGGAAGCACAATCAGAAATAGAAACAGAGCAGGAGAAAATAATCCAAAAGAACAGAAAACTCGTGACCATGAATCATGTCCAAACTGAGAGATTAACATTTAAGTCATCCATCATGTTTGCCCAACAAGGGGATGTATTCAAATGTGATGGTGAAGTGTCTAGACACAAATTCGCGGAGTTTAAAGGGCATTTTGTGAGTCACACTCAACAATGATTCATGATGATCCTGGATAACATCCCAATACTTGTCGGATCCAGTTTACCAAATACCAACACATCTGTACTGATTTTCCACCAACCTACTTGAAGACAAACAATTGTTGATTCTTCCTTTACTTTCTTCTGATGTGAATGAGACATGTCTTGAAGAAGTTCATGTTAGGGAAATGAGCTCAGTATCACCTAGAGAGTTGCGCTCAGAAAATTGCCCAATTCAATGAGAACTCCTCGCTCTTGAAAATAACTCTGCTTTGTACTTTCCAAATTTCCTAAAAATGGCCTCACAGTGACTATTCCTAATTTCAGAGTATATAGTTTTATATGCAAGGCCTTGCCACTAGAGCACTTGATCTGGTCACCAAGATGGCCAAACACAAAAGATCCCGAGTCATAGAAACGACTTCAAATATGAACCAGAAAGGGACGAAGTAGGAAGAGATTTAAACAAGTTCTCTTTGAATCCACAATGAGATCAAACAAATTTAGTTATAATTTGATTTCATTAGCAAGTTGATCTTCATACTAACACGTTATAGAGTCACCCCTTGAAAGAAGAAGGATATCCCACCAACCGTTTAGGGCTCAAAATATTTTCCAAGAGCATGACAAAACTAACTATCCCTAACAAGCAATATAAGGAGCAACCTATGGGCTATGCCCACGATAGATAAAACAAAATCCTAGATTGAATTCAACCCAACTACTTAAACACCCTTTTTTCCTTTTAGTATAGACTATTAAGGATGTTCTTTTATGCTTTTAGTTTTATAGTTTTTATATTTTTTGTAGGCGAAAATAGTTTTTTCGTGTGATGGTTTGTATGAAAATAGGTATTTGATGCGATATTTTTACAAGAAACATAAAAGGATTGAATAGCAAAAAAATGAGGAATAAACACACAAAAGAACACAGCCTAAGTGTTTATTAGAATCCAAAATTTCTCTTAAATCAGGTACTTAATTAGTCTGTCATGATCTTGAGGGGATGTGAACTTTCTAGCAATGGCTAGTCAAAATGAAATGCTAAAATCAAAATGTTACGAGGCAAAAAAAAAAAAAACACTTTGAGTGTGATTTGTAGCAAAATATATTTTACATTCATTTTGCAAATAGAACAATTCCCCATTTCAACTTGAAGGGTGCTGATTTTTCCAGAATTAGTAATATTTTATTTACATATCATTATCTTTAGATCCCTTCCATTATATTAGTTCCTAGTTTATATTGTAATTTCACATTAGTGTTAGAATTTCAGCTGTGATTTGATTTCATTTCCAAATCTATTCTAGAATTTACAGTATATAAATGGACTGTTCAATTTGTTCTATTCAATAAGAAAATCTATCTTCTATTTTATTTCTTAACAGTACAAAAACACTTGTTTGCATAATTATGCTCCCTCACGACTAGTTAGATAGCCCTAATTTGACTGATTGTAGAATCTTGGATGATTGCTTGATTCATAGATGTTTAGATAACAAACCAAGTCAAAAAATTCATCAAACCAGACAGAATATAGCATATGCCAGTTTGTTGTCACACCTACTCTATTTGGCTGAATGATTATATTCCATACATTAAGTTTTTGAACCCATTCATTTTAGAAGACAACAAAAGTAATTTCATCACTCAAAAACTTATGCAACACAGCCCAGTTTGCTGTTCAACAGCAACTAAGAAGGATAAGAAATAAGAATGAGCTAGCAGTTTCTAAGAGAGTTACACATTTTACCAAATACAGGAATAAGAATGATCACAAGCAGCAATGAAAAATGAATACTGTCAAAGCAAGAGTACAAAGTTCAGAATTAGTTATCCAAATTAGAAACCAATAACCAAAGCCACCATTTTTTACTAACAGCACTGAAGATGTGTTGTGTTCACTTCAGAAACACAATTGCCAAACAAGAAAATCATGCTCTTTCTATGATAATTAACATCCATGGTATACCATAGCTTAAGGCACTTTAGAGTCATAAAACATGGCACACTAAAAACATCATAGAAAGCAAAACACCCACTTGCTTAAAATAAACAATAAAAAATATATACACACATAAAATTATATATTATCCGCCTTTTCAGTTCTTAACATAACAGAAATTTAGGCATACATGAGTAATTAGACACAGAATTGCAATACAGATTAAGTTTTGGATCAAAGTTAGGATCTGAAACTCTGTTCTGAGTGCTACGTAAAATATCAGAAATCATACAAAAATGACCAAAATCATGTTATTCATGGAAAAAGGACTTCAAGCTCAAGCAATTTCACTAGGTAAATGTCTGTAAAATGATCTGATAACACAACACAGGGAAGAAAAGGAATATTGAGAGAAAACTAGCAGAGCATGAAAAACAGAATGAATATAACAAGCGCACACAGATTATTATCCAATGTGTGGATTGACCATGAGAGAACATCATAGAGGGAAGATATTGTTACCGTAAATGCTAAGGCTTTCGTCAATTGAAAACTTTAGAAAGCATATAAACAAAGAAAGCTTCTAAATTACACCATAATGATCTGACTACGGCATTACCTAAAACAACTAGACAGATTGTATACCACACCGCATAATAAAAGCTATAAAGGTGTTAGAGCCTCATGTTTCCACACGCATTCACATTAGATGACGAAAACCATGGAACTTACATACCTCAGAGCCTCAAAGGCTAGTAGAACATCCTGGGCATTGTTTGAATCGGAAGCTCTGTAACTTATAGGCCTCAGAATTTGAGTGATGGTGCACAAGTTTCTCAGATCTTCAGACTTATCCTTGCAATTCGTATTGTTTCCATGAAATTCAGGATATTGAACACTAACAGGTACAAGCGAATTACAAGCGGAAACACCATTTGGTGAGTCATCAACGGCGTCAGTGGCCGGATCCTTCTTGAACCTCTTCACACAACCAGATTTCCTCTTTTTAGCTCCAGTGCACCGACCTAATTGCGCCGGATCCACTCCCTCAGTCTTCTTTGATCCGTTCACCATTGAATCTCCGCCTGCAGAGTGCCCACCTTGGGATGTCAAAGCAATCCTACCAGCCTCTCCTGTGTTCGTCATCGCCGTTGTTCCTTTCAGTTCACAGAGTTTCAAATCCAGTTTGCTTTGTTTCCTTTCTTCTTCTCTCATACCAGATCGCATTTTTGAGCCATTTTCATATACTTTCTTGTAGGTTTCAATGCTGCATTCCTCATTTATATTAGGCTCCCCACTCTCATTCGTAAACGACACGTCATTCATTTGGGAAAGTGGTGCAGACTCCTCAGAAAGCCGAATCACGTGGGCGGGCACATTGTAAGTGGCTGCAGCTGGAGAGCGATGCTGTGGCTGGGGTTGTTTTTTCTTGGTGTGAACATGAGTGATGCCAGCCTTGCGCTTCCTTTTGCGCGTTGACCGGCTTTTCCCAGCTTTCAAACTTTAGAAATGAACATTCACAAGAATCCAAATTCGGAAAGTAATATCGGCAAAATCATTAGTTTAGATTGCAAATACACAATCATCTAGCAATTAAAACCATAAAAAGCACATAAAAAATGAATCATAAATAAACCTTTCTTCAAATGCTTCGATGAAATCCGAACATTGCAACAGATTCTCCACCGGCTCCCATGTATTTTCCGCCTCGGACCAGCCGCGCCTTCCAAAAGGGGCCAGCAATAATAAAATCAGCAAAAGACAAACATCTTATCCACCTTATTTCAACACAAACCAATTCCCACCATTTTCAAGTAAGCATTAAAACAACCATAAACCATCATCCCAAAAGAGTTGCAGAGATCACTCACCATTTGATAAGATACTGCACTTTACCCTTCCATTGCCGCAAGCATTCCAAATTGCCCACCAAAACAATGACATTCGCCACAACCACAAATCAAATTCAGTAAAATCACCAACACATAAATCTCCATCTATAATCTCTACTAACGGAACGCAATGTTAAAAAAATAAATAAATAAAATCAAGAAATAAATAAACAAGATCAATTCACCTTCCGGACGCGCTTCCTCCGTACGGCCTCAATCTCATAGTACCCATCAGCTAGCTTCGTCCTCTCTCCATCCGCATCGTCGTCAATCTGCGCGCCCTCCGACTGCTCCAGCTCCCTCTCAGCTTCTAAATCCTCCTCGTCCCCATCTTCGTCTTCTTCAGCAGCCTCGCCTGCAACTTCGAGGTTGTCAATTTGCTCTTGGAATTTTCGCCGCCCGTCCTCATCCCCGGCGGCCGATGGAAGAGCGGATTGCTGCGGCTGCACGGAAGCAGTGTCGGAATTCCTCTTCTTCCCTTGTTTCATCTCTTCCGGCGTCGAGGGCTAAACCATTTCTGGAATTTTCAGTAGGCTTGTTTTGCTTTGCTTTGTTTGGTAATAAAATATTTTATAATTTTCCTTTCTATTTATTTTTATGCAAACTTCACAATCTCATTATTGTTAGAATTGGATTGTTTCTGATTTTTAATTTATTTAATCTCCCAGTCTTTAAAACTATACATTTTTTTCATTTTCTTCAATCCACACTATACATTTTGACTGCTCTGCAATGCATGTTATAGATAAATAGTTTTGTGGTATTCATTTAGTGAAAATGGCTGTAAAATATATATATATATATATATTTTTTAAAATAAAAAATTATTTAAATAGTATAAAAATAATAAATGTATATAATATATTAATTATTTTTTAAATATTTTTATTGAAATTGATAGAAGAACACGCTCTAAATGTATTTTTTTTTTTTTTAAAAAAAATTCAAATCAATATATTTTTCTATTTAAAAAAAGAAAGACAGTATAATTTTTTAATAAAATATAGTATATATAGTATTTAAATATAAACTTATATTTTATTTTAAATCAAATTTAAATCACTTAAACTTATTGTTTTTATATACTCCTTTTCTAATTCAGATTTTGACATTTAAAAAAAAATATTTTTGTAAAACTAAATAATATTATGAGAAATAGATAGGCAGATAAAAAAAATAATAAAAAAATATTATATTAAATTGTGACTAAGAGTGTTTACAATATCCATCAACTATCACTAAAATGCAAAATATTTTTCCATACAAAATAAAGGAAATATCTATCAATGACTATTATTTTTCATCCACGTTATGTGCACTAATTTTAAATTAAAGTTTTCAATAAATATACAATTATGTTAATAATTATTAGTAAAATATCATATTTATTCTTAATTAAAAATTTTCAAAATTAAAACATCTTTAATGTAGAAAAAATTTAAATTTAAGATAACACACTCCCACACTTAAAATGTACATTTACTTGGGTATACTTTTTTATATTTTGTAAGTTTATAAATTTTTATTAATTTTTTAAATAAAACAATATTTGAATATAAAATTTTACAAAAAAATAAATACTACCCTTTATCAATAACAATGAAAAAAAAAAAAAAAAAGCCGTCACAGCTGAAGCTGCTAAAACAAATAATAATAAAAAAAAAATGAAGTAAAGTGTCTCTATATTTTCTTTCTAACTACTACATGTAAATTTTATATGATAAGAACAAAATGAAAACAACATGACTTCAATTCATACTTGCTTCATGTGATATGAAGAGCTTTAGCTACCTTACAACATACATATATTACACGGTACATATACTAAAGAAACATATCGATATATATGATATATCACGGTGTATATATATATATATTAATCGAAACATACCGATATCGATAGCGATGTCGATGCCTCGGCTAGTGTTTACGCTCCCATTTCCCTTCCCGCCTGCCCTCGCCCCGCTCCCTCCTCTCCATTATCTGCCTAGACTTTCCGCCTCGTGGCCCATGCCGCCCAAAGCCAATGGGCTGCCCGTCGAGAGATGACACAGCATCCAGATCCCCGACGCTGCCTGTGTCACCCGAGTCCTTGCTCCCTTCGAAATTCTCTTCGTAGTTGCTTCTGCTGTCGTCTGATCTCTCCCGCGATTGCAGGATAGTGGGAGGTTGCCCTGAGAACGACCTTGCCCCGGGTAACACGACTGTCGTAGCAGTGGAGGGAAGGGTGTCGGGTTGCATGTTGCGGGTGGTTGTTCTTAAGCTGCCTTCATTGCCGTCCCGGCTGCTTTCCCTTTCACGGTATTTGTCACGTGCGCTGTCGGTAAAAGTGGCGGTGAAAACATTAAGAGCTAACTCATATTGGCTGTTTGGCAGAACCAACCGATTATGCCGACAAAAAATAATTAATTTAAGTAAAATGTTTAGCACAATTGAATCGAAAAATGAAGAAGCTGGATCCTATATGGTATGATATGAACTTCTAAGATATCATAGCATGTTCAGGAAGTGACTAACCGAGAGTGACTCGAGGATGAAAATTCTCGGCGAGATGGTCGGACCCCAGCTTCCACTTGCTCTATTTCTCGCTGTATGTCTCTCTGCATAATAATTCATTCGACAGTGAAATTTTGATTGGGTAATATAAACACAATATACTTGGAAGGACTAAAGCATAACAGTGTAGGTTGCAGAACTCATTCTGTGAGGAAACAACGAAAAAACAAGGAACCAGAACTCGAGTTTTTTAGAATAATGCAATTTACCTCCACACGGTTTGTTCCTCTCTTTCCTAAGTTTGCATTTTTCGAGTTTTTACAAAACACAAGGGATTATGTGGGCAATTTTTGATACCTTCAGAGGACAAGGTACGAGTGTTCGCACTGGGACGAGGAAAGAGGGGTGTATCCACTAGTTTGTTTAGCTAATATATTTGAATATTCCCTATCTATGGATGCAATAGATAAACCATGAGGCATAATCATTCTGTGACAAATTAATTAAGAAACCCTTGCCTGTGCTTGTTTTTCTTTCTCCATATCAAGATTGTGCTGCAATTCCCTAGTTTTTGCTCGCTCGAGCTCCAGCTGTTGTTGTCTCTTGAGCTCCTTTTCTACTTCATCTGCTCTCGATCTGATAAGTGAAGAAATGAAGGTTTCACAAAATTACACAAATGTACATTATGATACAGATCAAATGTTTTGGGATAAACCTATGAAGCTTCTGTACAAGTTCTGCTTCACGTAGAGCAGCTTCTTCTCGAAACTGTTGCCTCGCACGCCTCATCATAAGCTTTTGTTGCCTGAGGGCTACAATTTCTTCTCTGAGCTTAGCCTTTTCGCTGGTGAAATAGAAGTTTAATTTAGAATAGGAAGCAGCTAATATTTAACAGAAATTATCCGAATAAGGACTATTTAAATAAAGAGTTAAAGAGCAAGAGTTTTGTTCACTCTGGAAAGTTAAGGACCTAACAAGCATAGGAGGAACAAGGGATCTCTTTCCTGTTTCCTTTCCAAGTAATAAAGTATAATTTGCACCGATCCAAAACCACTACTTTGTATGTTATCCAAGTTCGTTGGGTTTTTTTTTGGCACTTGATTCTTAGATCGGAATTTCTATATTTATTTGGTTTCTGTTCGTTGTGTAGTCAAGTGGGGTTGATGGCTTTCTAATTACTTAAACAGTGTTAACTGTTTTAGGAAAAAAAACATTAATCTAAAACCATATGTCACAACAGGGACAACTAAACAAGAGACAGCACTTACATTGATTTTATTTCATCTTTGATCTGCTGCAACCGCTGATCATCCTTTGAATATGCTGCATGGAATGGAAATGAATTGAACTATAAGAAAAAGTACACTTGCCATTTAAGGTAATGGAAGATAAAATATATGTTAATCAAAAACTGAAAATTAATTCATTGTGAGGAGAGAACTTAGGTGAGACATTACTTGACATAAATGGAAACTGGCGCCAATCTTGGAGATCGGGAGATGAATCTGATGGAGAGTGCTCGCTTTGTAGAAGTTCCATTTCCAATTCAGCCTCCTCCAATTCCTATTCACAATATAGCATTACTTGATTGTGTAGATTTAGAAATAAACCTTTGTAAAGGCAATCAATTCTATTACCATGTTCTTTTGTTCAGCTTCCTTCGAAAAGAAATCAAAATAGGATCTCGCAGATGTTAAATTACCAATAACCTGCAAATAAATGAAATATTGATGCAAAGAAACACTCTAGCAATTTCAAAGACAACTTAAGCCTGAAATTTTTGTTTCATGGAATGCAAAAAAAAAAACCTGAAGAATTGATTCTCTTGTAGCAACGAAATCAGGAATTTGCTGTTTTTCAGAGCTTGAACAAAGAACTTCCTTCAAAGTCTTCAACCAAAGTAAATAAATCGAAATCAAGATGCTACCAATTATTCATATATTATCTCAAAACTTATCAAGACATTTTAATACTTTTGAAATTGCCCCTATGATTGCCATACCTGTTTAGCATCTTCTCCATCATGTTTAAGTCTACAAAGTGCTTCACAGGCTTGTTTCTCAAGGCTGGTGCAATAGCTACCTACAAGAACAGGAAAAAGGAGAAATGGAATTTAACATAACCGCATGATCATCTTGTTAGCAGCACCTAAAACCAATTACCATTTCTAGACATTCCAAATGCTTCTATGTTTCTCCAAATACTTTCAGGAATCAGCGACATATCTTCAGCTGGAGAATAGAGACACGCGCTGGCAATGAGTGCTAGAGAAAATTGTGTTAATGGACCATCACATGTAGGTTGTGCAAGAGTTGTCAAAGACTGAAGAATACTGTCAGAAGCTGCGAGGAACGACTGCAATTTACACCTCTCCACAAAGGGTATGAAATTGATGAGGAGTGCTGTTGCATGGGTTTTTAGCAGCAATGATGTGTCAGATGATGAAATCAATGCCACATGATCCCAGGTGGCTGAAACCAAAGGAGACAGAATAGCTTCAGATGTGGATGTAACTAAATCAGATGGAGCTATTATAGATTCCGTTGCCAAAGGCAAAAGTAACTTTCCACTATCGACATCCTGACCAACAAGTCTGCCCAAGTGCTTAAGTGCAATATAGCGTTGCTCAGGCTCAGCATGCCCAAGAAGGGCACAGAACAGATCAACCAGAGGAAATTCCTTTTGACAGATGTTATTAATACCTCTTCCCAGTAACAAAGCCATCATCTTATCTATCTGTAATCTCCAGGAGATATTTGGTGCACTATTAGAGAAGTTCTTGAGTGCCAGGCACAGGTTATCGATTAGATTATCAAGATAAAGACACCTGGGCACTCCCAAAAGAGATTCCAGTAATACAGATGCAACCTCCCAGCAATGTTTTTCCTGAAGTACCAAAATAGTCTCAGAGAGTCCTCTCAGACTCTCTCTCCAAAGCTCTGGGAGCTCATTCACAAGTCCACTGGGAAGGAGAGTTAACTCTACCCCTGAGGAGGCAGCAAATTTCTCCCCAGACAAGCATAAGCACCTTGACAAAATAAAGCATTCTGCGCATGTGAGTGCCAGTTTCTTGGTCACTTTATGATGAAGTTTCCAGCACTGCTCGAAGGTTGGATTGAGTTGCAAAACAAGAGAGTCCAAATGTTCAGAAAATGTCTTTACTTCTTCTAAAGTCAACTGACAAATCTTATGATTAGCATTGGCAACTACACTATTATCATCTGGGCACTTCTCATCAGCAGAAGATGAAGGTTGGCATATCTCATAGAGAAATGAGGATTCAGAAAAACCATGGCCACTATAATCCGTAGTATCACAATATGCAGACATTTTAAGTGGAATAATGCCCCAGGCTCGTGAAGTAGCAAGCAGCAAGTCGCTACAGTTGTCCATGAGTAACTGATAAGCACAAATATAGTCATGAAAAGCATTTGTCCCCTCGAATGAAGCAAACTCTGCCCACAATATAGAGTATTGAAGTAGTTCTTTTTTCCAATGGAAGGACAAATCACTAAAAATAGCACCCAACACATAGATAGTCAATGCTTGGCATTTTCCATTTCCGAGTGGACCATCTTCATTCTTCTTGTTAAATTTAATATTGTCAAAAAGTGCTCCAAAACACAATGATTCAAAATTGTCAGATGAATATGGATTTTCTTCCTCAGGCACCTTACTTAAGGAATATGTTATGATGGGTTTCAACAAACACAAAGCAGAATCTAGAAACGACACATCACAGTATGAAGTATTGCACAAGGACACAAGCACCTGCATCACTCTAGGCAACTCTGGAATCATAGCTTCCATGTGCTCAACTACAATGGTTTCAAGGATGTAGAGAATAACAGCTTTTGCGTTCTTTGCCACAAAACCTTTGAACATATCAGCCTTGGGCAGAATTGATGTTTGTTCATTCCCGAACCGAACTAATGGCCATGAGCATAAATCGGAAAACCAACACATCAGATCTGGCACAATAGATGGAGACAGAAATATCAATTGCAAACGAACTGCTTCTAGTATAGTCTCACCAAAAGCTATAAATTCTTTCTTCAAATTAGGAAAGAATTTACTGATATCAGGATGCAAGGCATGAAAAGATTGCAACCCATCTTCAAGGACAACATTTTTACCACCATCCTCAACATTAGCATTTTGGCGAATACTCAATTGTTCAACCCGACTGTCCATATCTTTCTGCTCAATGAGGTTATCTACAAGAGAGAGGTCATCTAAAAATATTGATAAAAGATACATTAACTGCTGCAAATCAGAAACAAGGAAGAGTCTCTCTTTAAGAAATTGTTTTGCATGGTGTGCTACAGCCATCCAACCAAAATATCTCACCAGCGGAAAAGCAGAAGAAGAAAAGAGAGGTACTTTCTGCAACCATGCCGATGGAGGAACCAAATTTGAAAATCGAAAACCATTTCTGATGCTGACTGAAGGCAAAAACCTCTCATCACCACCACTTGAAGCAATGATCAATCTATGAAGAAGAATCCAGCGCCGCTGCAACTCATACTGCTTTACATTATTTGAGGACAAACTCTCTTCCTTGAGTTGGTAATAAAGTGATTTTAACTGCATGTTCAATGATTCAGAAAAACCTAATATTATATCAACCACGTGCTCGGGAGGACAAAATAGTTTAGTTGCTGAATGCAACAGAAACAGAAGACACCACATTAGAATCTCATGCACGGGCTGCTGCTCCTCATGTGAATCTCTCAGCAAACGTTCTATCAAGAAATTGCACAGGAGTGCTTGATTCTGACGAGCTAATGTTATTGCATCTGCCGAAAGAAAATCCTGCTCAGACAAATTAACAACATCCTCAGCGACTTCAACATGCAACTCGGATTCCAATTTGCGATGTTTCTTATCTAATACTGCCGCCTCAATCAGTATTTCCAGAACAACCCTGTCTCTTTTCCTCTCAATGTCAGCCAAATGTTTCAAGTCATCCTTTTGCTTAAAAAGTCTCTTCACATCTACAGGTTGATAGTTCTTAGTCGAAGCTTTGAGATTAAATTTGTTCAAATCTGGTGAAAAGTCCTTGAAAGACATCATAAAGCAAGGATTTATGTAACATTCTGCTGCCAGGAGCAAAGCATCTATGGCTACATCATGATTCTCCGGAGTAATATCATTTCGGGAGCTCAAGTCCAGAGCCAAACGCCTAAACTCGGATGCCCTCAGCTCACAATCTCGATAATTCATAAGTTGTGAGTAATCTGCCAGCAAATTATAGAATTCAATACCCTGACCAGAATCTAATCCAACACCACTTGAAAAGCCATCAGTTAAGTTTTTGGCCTCAAAATTGATATTTTGACTGCTTGGATCCGAAACCTTAATGTCTGTGCTTGAAGGAACACGAGTGAGAGAAATTCCATTCAATTCTGGAGGAGCAAAGAAAAAACCGGCATCCTCAAAAGCATCCATTTTACCAGTGACGTCAACATCAACCTTCATATCAGCAGTCTCTTGGTTATATGATCTAGAAGTGACTACTCCATTACGAGAAGGCATAGGTGGAGCAGCTGATGCTGGCAGCTCCACCTTTTCCGAAGAAGAAAATTTGCAACTATCAATATCAGCAGGCAATTGCAACTGAGCATCCAGAACTGAAAGAAGCACACTGCACATAAAGAACGTCACAATGTAAGATGGAGTAAAAATAATTAACCAACTGCATCAGCATTTCATTCAGACAGAAACTGTGACCAAATCAATTAACAATGTTTTTTAACATACCAAAGCCAGAAAGTAGTTCTTTGACACACATTTTTGGATTTAGTTTTATACTAAAACCAGACATACTAGTGTGCCTGAGGAACTATACCATTGTGGGTGTGTGGTATATCTACAATATAGTATATAACATCACTAAATTGTTGACTATTTCTTCTCTATATACAAAATGAAAACTGTCAACCAGTAAAATAAACTTGAACAAAAATTTTACTAGTTCTACTAAGAAATATAAACAGCACTATAGAAATTGCTGTCTCAAGCAGTATAATTAAACAAACTTCAGATCTTAAAAAAAAAAAAAAAAAAAAAGTGCCCATGCCAGATGAATCAAAATAACAACCCAAAGTTGGGATTGATAACTACTGCAGCCATTGAAATTAAATAATTGCTTGAAAATGCAAATAAAGAGCAGGAAACAGTAGTGATGCATAATGGTCTACTGTCTCGGTAAGAAGAATTAGGAATATAATATCATGTCAAGTTTTTATTAACAAATAATAAAATCACTCAATATTATTTAAGAAGAGCCCATGTAGCAATTGAGTTCAAATGTAATGTTTGCATTGAATCACCTAGGAGCAACAGACCCATGCCGCCATTCAGACTCCAATGATGGCAGTACACTGGACTTTCTTATGGCAGTGCGGATAGCATTAAGTGCTCTAGCACAGTTCTGCTCCTGATTCTCGGTAAATATAGAAGGCATGTTTCCAAAGGATATCATGCCCTTAAAGGGGGTTAAGGCAGGATCTAGAAAAGGTTCTAGCATCTCCACCAGGAATAATATTCGGTGCTTAGCATCCTGAAGAACAAAATATATTTAACCAGCAACCAAAATTATCAAAAGTGTGTTTTTTATCTTTTCCGGAACACATGCAAACGAAAAATAAAAAGTGTAGAATCAAGTCCAATCTTGTGTTCAAGCTTTACATCCTTTCACAATACCTTATATTGCGCTATAATATCATCCATGTTACCAGAGAGCGCGAGAACAATATACTTGAGGGCAGCACGTGCCCGGGAAAATGAATGACGAACACCCTGTTAAATAAATGACATAGAAGTTTAATCATGAAATCAAGTCATAAACCTTGTCAAGGAATCACTCATGGACATATAAGAGGCTCATCCTTGAGAGTTGAGATAAAATGCAATCATATGCAAGGAAATTTGGTACCATAATTCATAAAGTGAGTAGCACTACTATGGCCCATTTCAGTAGAAATAACTAACAAAAGCATATGTACATGAGAAGAACTAATCCAACAGGCGTCATATCTAAACAGAATAGTAGGTATGCGATCACTACTCCATTCAAAATTTATTCATTGGGGACAGGAACAATCAGCAAAGGACACCATAAATCTATCTAGTCCATGTCATGTTAGAACTTGTTACCAGTTATAAAAGAACATATTGAAATACAAAGCAAGTACAAGCAAAAACTTAAAACATGTAATGTGTGTAATGCAACATTAAAAATCAGACAGTTGACTCTAGTTTCCTAGTACAACATATCTGCAAATAAAAGAACAGAAAGTTAAAACATACAATGGGACATCTGCAACATTGAAAATGTTTTTCCAAGTACGAGCAATATCTTGAAAACAGAAACCAAAAACTCAAAATAGTCCTTGTGCAACCTAGAAGCAAAGAGTTGAGTTTGCAAGATGCCCTCAGATATAAGAATGAAAGCTGCATAGTAATGACCACATGACAATAAATTGTTATTCGCCAAAAGAAATATAGAGCAAACCTGGATTACACCTAAAAGGTCTTCCAAAAGCTCCATACACAAGTCTACCTGCACTCAAGAACATAATCAGAAGTACAACAAATGTAAAAATGTAAACACAAGACCAAAACGTAACTAGGACATTTTTTTAATGGAAAATCATATAACCTTGGCAATCACTTGAGTCATCCACGGTGCTAACACACCTGAGCACAAATCAATAAGAACACATGCCGCCTTAGCCTGCATGGGGGAGATAGACCAAAGAAGACTATTCATCAACGTCATTCGTGTTCTGGTAACAATTCAGCTCAGAAATAGGTGTTAATAATGTGGGAAATGCATTGACATTCCACTTCCCTGGAATGGGTCAGTTCACTACCCCTGGTTTAAGATGTAAACTCTCCACCACCAAACCACCTATCAAAAATATTCTAATATTTTTTTAGGCAAAAGGGAAAAAAATTTACCTAAGTGTTCTAATTGCACCTTCAAATTGGATACGGATTCATTACAAATCTCAAACAATCTCAATTGGAATCATTCCAAAGCCCCTGCACTTACTATTTCAAATAAATTGCAAATTTTGATTCCATGATTACTAAAACTAAATATTCAGAAACCATTTAATCACATGCTTCACTGGTAAATATCCTCAAAATATCATCACAAAAGACCACTATTACTTAACCTTAACATTACAATGATGAAGGATATTCATGCAGCTGCTGATTCTTCTCAATCAAAAAAGTTTATACACATCCAGGTACTATAACAAAAGATTCAATGATTGGTAACATCACTTCTGAGTTAACATCATATTAATCTATTAAATGCCTTATGTACAGCAACAGGTTTTAGCTACTAATATCCAACAACGTCCGTTTTCTACAAAACGGGTGTTTCTTATGGACTGAACCTATCCAAAATGAATAGAATTTTGGAATTCACTATTGATCTAGATGTGGAAACACTGCATAGAGATGTGGCATGACACAAAATGAAAGTGGAAGAGAACACACTTAGTTTGCATAATCAAAATAGAAACACTATCATTAGGGGGTGAAATATAGGAACATCAGAGACTAACATGTGAAGGTGAGAAAGATGCTAAATAGCCAGCACAAGCACGAAGTAGAGGCCGATATATGGCAGAAGATGAAGTTGCCACAATCTGCAATCGTAGCTAAGTCAATGGACGTATTAAAGACAAAATGGTTAGCAAGCATTAGGAATATCACCAGTAATACCTGAGAGAGTGCATTTTGTACAAATGATTGCTTCCACGGAGAGAAGTTGTCATCAATTTGGTTAGAATTGCTGACAGTTGGACGTAGTGCTACAAAACAAAGTAGATAATTGCATCAAGGTCATTGACAAGCAATCAAACAAGATACAATAATAGGAATAACGAAGTTATTTCTATGGCTGTTTTAAAAAAATAAATTAATTAATTTACTTGGAATGTGCAGAGAATTGTTCCTCACTATTTGTTTTAGATCAAATTACACAAAAATATTTGCAAACAGAAAATATTGGTTTCATGTTATGCTTGACCTGGGGTGAATTTGACATTTGATGAGCAGTGACATAATGACGTGAAGAAATTATGTGGAAACAACTGAAACTTAAAGAATAGGTAAATAGATTACGCACGAAACAGCCCTAAAACAAAGACAAGGAATTTCTCAGGAGGGTAATGGCAATGGTATTGCAATGGGCATAGCTGGAAAACAAAGTGGGTAGCAGCTATTCAAAAACTGTGTGTGTGCATGTGTGTATTGAAACAAAGTTCATTACATAATGAATAACTACTAGGTTCTCATTTAGGTTTGGCAACTTGGTTGAAAGCAAACAAAATTTCAAACATACTAGAAGTCAGACAATAGCTAAGAAATATCATGGTAGCCGAAAGGAAAAGCCAGATATATTGGTTTTGGTTGTTGGAATCTGGAGATATTTCTGGCCAGATTTAGAAGATACTATACCTAAGTTCTTAGATAAATAGATTATTAATTATAAAACAAGAAATAGATTCTCTTAGAAGATCAATAAAACCAGTGGATGTGTTTTCAGGGATAATAAGTTCAGTATAGCCATGACAAGATGGTAAATAGGTATGCAAACCTGAAAGCAATGCTTGAACTAATGGCAATACCAACCAAAATTCAGAAGCATTCTCAGTCAGTTTGCTGCAGTGTGAAGGCTGTAACAAAAATAAAAATTAGGTAAATAGATTACGCACAAAACAGCCCTAAAACAAATAAACTTGGAAGGCAAATCACCAACCTGAGAAGCAGAAGCATAAAGAACATGCATTATTCCTTCTTCAATTGCAGCTGAATCTAAACTACTAAGATAGGCAGGATCACATGTATTATCTGGTATTTGAAAGTCCTCCCCAAACAAGCTTGAATAATCAGGTAGTGAAGTAGGAAAACAGGGATCAGATTTAGTAACTTCATTAGCTGTAGGTACTTCTTTTGTTGTCAAAGGCTCCACAAGCTTCATAAATATTTGTGATCCCTAAAAATATACGGTGGGTTTTTAATAAATAAAATTATTGTAAGATGTTAGCACCACACTCAAATTATACAATGATAAAAATTAAATATATATATATATACTAGAGAGCTTCTATAAAATAAATTAAAAACACAAATCACAAGCATATCTCACCATCTTGCACACATTCCCCAAGTTAGTATCTTTATATGCCTTTCTAAGCAATACAAAGACAGCATCAGGACGGAAGACTAAGTGCGTTGACATGGGAGCATAAACAGATGATGTGTTTCGTGATCTCCTTGGCTGTCACATCAGAATATCTACTCAGTAAGCCATGGATTACTTCACCAATAAACATCATAATGCAATTGGTTTACTAGTATCAAAACAAGTTAAATAAAAATGAGTAGGAATATTTATTTAAGTTTCACAAGAAAACTTAACACTCTTTGTTTAATGGCTTAGAATTCAAGCGGCTCAATATTTCATGCACAAAGGAAACCCATTTAAAACATACATAAACTAAAATGACAGGCAGATGTAACTTCACACATAGTTTATATATTCAAATATACACCATCCAGAAACATAACAGCTGTTACAGGTCCAGAAATAACTAGGAAGATCAGGAAACAGAAGGAAAAAAAAAAAATGTAATAATGTGCATCAATACTATAATGCATAATACTTAAGATTTTAGAAGCAAACACAAATGCATTACCTCAAAATTTGAGGAAACCATCAATGCTGTAGATGGCAGGTTGGTCTTAGAAGCTTCAACATCAGAACTGTTGAGAGCCAACCTTGCAGTTTCTCTGTCATGCATTTAATCATTCATAGGAAAACATATATATTGATGAAAAAGGAAGAAGAAGTGCAACCATAATGTTGAGTATAGTTGATTCCAGTTAAAATTTTAACAAAATAGAACTTGTCAGAAAAGAAGAGAAGTCTGAAAGGATGCCTCCCTGAGAGAGATTCAAGAAGAACCTATGGGTACTTCAGATAATCAGAAACCCTTCTAAGATCTTAAAGCCAGAGCAACCTTATATCTAGAGCAACCACAATCTTAACTCCTGGGCTGCAAGATATATATATATATATATATTCTATATAGGCCATGCTAGCAATAAGGACAAAGGAGTAGTGAGGGTGGCACACACCCTCCATAAAGGTATTGTTACACTTCTCAGGAGGTATACTTTTACAGACAGAAATCTCAATGACTAAACAGTAATATCAGAAGTTGCAATACACCTTTTTTGCAGTAAAAACACAACGGAGCCAGATAGGATTGTGTATTAGAGTGGAATATATTGATTATTTATTTAGGATTGCACATGAAGGAAGAACTTGCATCCTAAATGATGGTTCATAGTATTTTAAAACTGTGTTTGGCAGTGATATTAAGGTCTGCCACATTTTCCTTTTCTCAATGGTTATATAGAATAATATATAGGCTCTTAATTGTTATGTAGAAATCCCTGGGAGGTTGATTACAATGTAACATCTTTATCTTCTCTTTTCTTTTTATTTTTTCATTTATATCCCCAATGTCAAGTTGAACAGTACTGCAGTGGAGAGAAGTGGCATAAAGAGAAGGGAATTTAGTTATGTAAGCATGAACCGATAGCTTGATATTTATGCCCACCATTAAATATGCTATTTAGCTCTTAGGCAAAGCTCACTTTCAGCTTTGTTCCAAATTTAGCCATTGAAACATTCTAAATTTATCCATGCAACTTTGGCAATATATTAACCAACCTTTCGCCAACAATCTGAAGGATGGGATAAAATGGGCCAGCAAGCATTGCCAGAAAACGTATGGTAGATTCAGGCGACTCGGAAAAACTATTTAGATCAGTCTGCATGACAATAAGTCATATATAAGTACAGCACATAAGCTAGTATTCTTGGGATGATGTTGACCCTATTTTCATACCTCGAGGTGAGGAAGAAACCTGGATAACCGGCTCGTCACATCATGAAGCAACTACATATGAACAGTTAGGAAAGGGAACAGCACAAACAGCTAGAATGGATGTGCCTCTAACATATAACAAAAAAAGAAAGAAAATAATAATAATAAAATCATTGTTCATGCTCTTTAACATGTGGGTTACTTTACCTGAAGATGCACATCAACAGCATCTTGTTTGTGGGAGATTATCTGCGGTAGCAAGTGGTTGGCAACAGGTTGAAATTCTGGCTCCAAACCAGGAACTGAAATCCCAATCAGCTGCAATGAACAAACATGGAACATTATGCAAGCAATACTTCATTGGCAGTCCAGAATTTCATGCGCATCATTATGGCTGAAATCACCATGCATTGATAACTGGTAGCAATGCGTCTACAATAGATACAAATCTCAAACACTACCTGAATGAAAAATAAGGCTATCGGGTTTCCACGCATACAAGATATCTTCACATAGCGACATGGGGTGTAATTCATTAAATACATCATATCACGTCGTGGCGCCTCACAGCGGGGACGAACTTTAGCGAAGACCTCTGGCTGTTTGAGTGAATATGTAAAATGCAATGCTAACGATAGTCAATTCAGAGGTACACATAATTTCTTCGATAGTCAAAATCCTGTTTCACAAACCTTAATGTGTAATCCAGCCGATATTTCCCACTCCAACACGGACTTATTATAAATCCTTATGTGTGAAAGGAGACATGGTTCCTACAATACATATATAAAATAAAAAATAAATCGGCAATGATTGAAGATATAATTCATAAGAGGCTGCAAACAAGTATTTATTGATATACTTCGTCTTAGTTGCAGCATTTACCAAATAGATGGAAGCCAGGAAAAATAGATAATGCACTTCATAGTCCGTGGTATTACCATTTCCAAAGGTGAGAAGTTTCACTATGGATCTTCAAACATTAGAACTTACTTCATCATTTTCTAACATCTTATAATTTTGACCGGACTAGATAAATGCATATGTTTTGACGCAACTAAAACTTTTTTTCACACAAAATGATGCGTTCTTTTTTACAATTACAAAGACTCCACTGGAAACACATACTTAAGAAGTATCATGGCAGAAGTGTTTTCCAGTAAATAAAACATTATATGAATCCCAAATCAACATGTTGCGGTCAATGTGCTTCTCGGCAGCCTATGATTCACCACTTGACTGATGACCAGCAACCAGAACTAACCTACTTGTTGGCATGGCAACCCCACCACAGTATATTGTAGCAGGTACTGCACCTAACTAACAATAATTTATAAATGGAATTCAAGATTGACACACAAAGGCCAAAGGACAATCCACTGAAGCTGTTTAACTACAAGTGAGCCACAATTCCAACCAATTACCAAGCAGAATTTGGTAAAGAATTACTCGATCGGAACATTTGAATTCAACATACGATCAGTTCCCCTTCAATGCAACATACATATATGATCCTACACACAAGTAACTATCACAACGACAGCTTGATTAACAAAGGAAACACAAAAACACTGCTCAGAAGCAAATCAAACTCAAACAGAACAACTTTCTCCCAATCAATATAACAAAACAACACAATATCTTTAGCGAACTATAGGCAACAGCAAGCACAAAAAAGTTAAATAAGAAAGCAATCAAATGGCCGCCGCATACGTACTTCGAGTTCCAGTAAAATCCACTCTTTGGTATTGGTTCCGGTGGACCAATGGTTGCGGAGGTCGGTGTCGAGCACGTAGACTGCCTTCTGGGCAGAGGACTCCCGAGACATGGTCTTCACTTTGTAAGCCAATGGCTTCACCCTTGGCTCCAACTCCACCTCCATCTTTGGCGCCTGCTTCCTTCCTCCTACTCTCCAACCCTTCTTCGTGCGCGGGTACGCTGAGTCCTTCCAGTTCAGTATTCTGGGGTTTATACTCTAGGGAAAGAATTTCGGAAGCCACCCCGGTGGTTTTCTAATATTGTATATATACCCCCAACCTTTCTTATGTACTGTTCCTCTCTCCAGAGTCAGGACTCAGACTATACTTAATAAATAATTATATATTAATATAAGTAAAATTTTAAAACTTATAAATTAAAATTTTAAAAATTGATTGAAATATAATTATTTTTAAAGGTTTTGATTTTGGGGTTCACATCTTTTGATTTTGGGTTACGATGTTAATAGGAAAAAAATTGAATTGAAATGATTTATTTATTTATTAATATATTAAAAATAATTTTTATTTGCTAAAAATTTGTATAAATGGTGAAATTCTATCAAAATCTTCTGGACAAACACACCATATTATAAATATGTGTTGATAAAAAATTGTGAGATAATATATAGATAGGAAAGAGGTGTGTTTGTTTTGTGTTTTGATTTGAAAAAGAAAAATATCAGAGTATAAATAATTGTATAGGTAATATAAAAATAATGAATGTAGTATATATATATATTGAAATATTTCCTCCGGCTAGAAATATACATATGGGACGTCCAATTACAAAGTAAACATTTCATTAAATACCTTATTTTTTTCTACAAATACCTTTACTTTACATCACATCGTTACTTTTACATTACTTTTACATCAAAAAGTAAAGGCAAAAATATCAGTACATTACTTTTAATTATCCAATATAATTAAAATACTATTATTTTTTAAACACTGCGACCAAAAATAATTTTATACTTTATGAGTGGACAGAGGGAGTATGTGTTAGTTTGTTTTGAGTAAAATAATACACCCATCGTTTCTAGCTGGTTGTTTGTCTTTAACTAAATTGTTGACATAGAAAGAATTTTTTTTAAATGGATATAAAAAAATTGTGTAAAGAATATACAAAATATGAATATGTATAGTGTATTAATTTATTTATTTTTTTGTGAATAGGAGTGTGATATTAAATACAATAATATATACATTATTTGTTAATAGATAATATTATAAAGAAAATAATTTTTGTGAAACTATTTTTTTAGAATAATCTGTTTATATAATAATGCATATATTTTGTATATCTATTAATTTTTCGAGAAAAATGATAATTAAAAAACTAAATTTATAATATATTAATTGATAAGAGATCAAATTGTCATTTATTAAGGTACTAAAATTAATTCAATTATAAATAAAAGATATTAAAATCTATCATTTTAATAATATAGATAAAGAGGACAAAAAAAAAAAGGTTAGAGGTTGAACTTGAGTCTGTCGGATATGTTCCTAGCTAATGAGTCCAAACAGGTTAACATTAAAAATTCAAGATCAAGACTAGATCTATGTTTTATAATATTTTTAAAATATAATATACATATAAACAAAAGATATGTTTTTTTAGCGGAGTTTCCCCGAATTTTACTATTTGAACTCTGCTATTTTTTTAAAAAAAATTATATTTTCTTTTTTTCACAAAACATCCCATCAAACATTATTTTCATATCAAATTCAAATTTTTTTTTTTTTCAACTCATCAAAATAAACAAACCCAAAATCTTAAATGTGAGACAGAGGAAAAGCAAAGACCTGTACAAAAGTAACGATGATGTGATGTAAAATAAAGGTATCTGTGGAAAAAAATAAGGTATTTAACGAAATGTTAACTTTGTAATTGGACGTTTCAAAATAGAAATATGTAAACATTGTAAGTAGACGGAGACAGTATAATATTAAAATAGTGTTCTCTCAATTCCACATCAAATATTTATATTTTTTTATTTTCCTAGGTTCATATAATTTGTCATGAAATATCATTATATACTTTAATTACATCTTAATTACATCTTAAATTTCATAATTTATAATTTTTTAAATTTTAATTAAATTATTTAATAATTTTAATTTAATTTATAATTATTTTTACTAAAAATAAAAATAAACTTTTTAATTTCTCCCTACAAAAGATAATTGAGAACGCAATTAGAGTCGTTAGACAATTTTCCCATCTTATTGAGTTAGAATTAAGCATAGTGCATGTAATAATTGGGGTTATATATATATATATATAAAAATCATAAATGCAACTTATGCAAACAACAGACGTTACGTGTACACATATACATACATACATACATGTATGTATAGAAATGCCTTCGGCCTTTCTTCTTCCTATCTTTCTTCCCTCCTTTTCAGCATAATCGTCCGTAGCTTCAAATATCCATGAAACCTCCATAAGATCTTCAACTTCCTCTGTGTTATGGGCGGAGAATCACAGAAATGGATCGTCCTGGTCGCCACCACGTGGATTCAAGCATTCACGGGAACCAACCTCGACTTCTCCTCCTATTCCACCGATTTGAAATCGATCCTCGGCGTATCTCAGGTACAGCTCAACTACATAGGCGTCGCTTCCGACATGGGAAAGGCCTTCGGATGGTGCTCCGGAGTTGCTCTATTGCATTTCCCCACCTGGATTGTTTTGTTCGCCGCTGCTTTTATGGGATTCCTTGGCTACGGCCTTCAATGGCTCCTCATTGAAGGAATTGTCTCCTTGCCCTACTCTACGGTTGGTGTTCTTTTCCCTCTATCAATTCACTATAATCTCGCCATATTCCCCGAGATTGTCAATTTGGTTAACTGATTAACTCCATTTGTTGCTAAACTGTTTGCGCAATTGTCCTGCATTTTTTCCTTTTTCTGCTGTGTGTGTGTGTGTTGGTTTTCGTTTTCGTTTTCGTTTTTTTCATCTTCTGTGCTTGCGTAATTTCTTCTGAACAGTTCGATTCCCAGCTATCACATGATTTCATTTCAGTTATACTGAGAAGTAGATGGACATTGGGAAACCTCCAATCCACCGTCATATTTTCTTAATTAACAACAATAGTTTAGGTTTGAATCCACCAAACATCAATTGGAGGATAGCTGTTTCGGTTTGGGTTGGTGAGACGTCGTAATATATGCATTCAATCACCAAAACCAAACTACTTCCCTGAATTACTAAACGTTAGAACTTCATTTATGATATAGCTGCCAGCAAATTGAATCATTGGAGGATAGCCTTTCAGTTAAAGTTTGGTGAAGCTGCCGTAGCTGCATTTGATTCACTCAACGTAATGCAGTAGCTTCTGTGCATCATCAAATGTGAATTTTGTTTTTATCATATAGAGTGTACCATAATTGAAGCAACTCAGACACTGCCATAAACAATAGTGACAGGCTTGCTTGCCTTCTTGGGAAAGGGAATCCACTGCTAGCAACACACTGCTATGAACAATAACCAGTCCCTAATTGCTCCATTGTTGCATTTGAAGTATGGATTTTAGTTTTTACTGTTCTACTTTCAGTTTGAGTTCATTGTGGGGCATCTGAATCTCCATATCAGCAAGAGCTAAATCACCATGACCATGATGCACTGTTTTGATTTCTACAGGTTCTTCTGCTGTCTTTGCTGGCTGGTTGTAGCATCTCCTGGTTCAACACAGTATGTTATGTTCTCTGCATCAAATACTTCCCAGAAAACAGGGGACTGGCTCTGTCCTTGAGCATAAGCTACAATGGTGTAAGTGCTGCCTTATATAACCTCATTGCCAATTCCATTGATCCCAGTGACAGCAAGCTCTACCTTCTCCTAAACGCCATTGTCCCCCTTGTAACCTCTGTCGTCTCCCTTCCGCCAATCTTCCATCACTCACCTTCAGAAGTCACCCCACCAGACAACCCCCCTCACCGTGATTCTGCCATATTTCTCATCTTAACTTCACTGGCCACTATTACAGGGCTTCATCTCCTCATGAATTCAAAATCATCCACAGCATCTACTGCCCGTATGGCGTTGGCTGGGGCTATATTTATGTTGGTGCTTCCCCTGGTAATACTTGGGATGATCTATTTATGGGAAATGCCGAGAAAAACCATCAACCCTAGCTTCCAACAACTACAGGGTTCAGGTTTCACTTTGATGGACAATGAAGATGATGAAGATGACAGCCATTCGAGCTATAATGACACCTCGGACAGTGACTTAATTGAGGATGATTTTTACAGGCAGCTATGCAGAGATGACGACTCGGTGGGGCTTGGAGATGATCACACGATCTCCTTGCTGATCCGCCAGTTCGACTTCTGGCTGTACTATCTTGCATATTTCTGCGGAGGAACAATAGGATTAGTATACAGTAACAACCTCGGCCAAATATCCGAGTCGCTTGGTTACAGCAAGTACACTAATTCTCTCGTGGCACTCTATTCTGCAAGCTCGTTCTTCGGTCGCCTGCTTTCTACTATCCCAGACTTCTTGCAAGAGTAGGTATCCTAACACACAATCAATTTAATCAGTTTAATTCGATTTCCTACCTTTATAATGATGGCGTTCAATGAATGCAGCAAGGTGTACTTCGCAAGAACTCTATGGCTAACATTGGCGATAATTCCAACCTCAGCTGCATTTTTGCTGCTCGTTTTGTCAGCAGGCACGGCAACATTGGGTCTCGCCACATCCCTCATAGGACTAAGCTCCGGTTTTGTGTTTTCAGCAGCCGTTTCTATAACATCAGAGCTTTTCGGCCCTAATAGAGCCGGGGTCAACCACAACATTCTCATTACAAATATCCCTATTGGATCACTGCTCTATAGTCTTCTTGCAGCCGTAATATACGAAGCCAACATAGAAACCCCAGACAAGGTTGCTTTGAGCAGTGAATCTAAAGTATGCATCGGCGAGGATTGCTACCACAGAACTTTTATGTGGTGGTGGCTGATATCTTTGCTAGGTCTACTTTCTAGTTCTTGGTTCTCCATCAGAACTAAAGCTGCCTATGACCGGTTTGAGCGACAAAAGCGCAGATCTAAAGTTATGCTGTTGAGATCGATACACTCCTAGTACACAGTATGGTCTTAAGGACAACGAGGATTAAATGTTTAGACCTCTCGCAGAAGAACAAAGATTTGTTCGAGGCATGTTATTTAAGCAGAAACTAGCCAATCCGTCTAGCATTCCTCTAACAGAAAGATTTAAACAAATGGTATACCATTCTTGTCTTATGTTATTACATGGTTTAATCTACTTTCTTGTTCTCTAATGGACACAAATGCTAGGTACTAAGCACATAGAAGCACATCATTAAATGAAACCATAACCAGAATGATTGTATATTCCCTGCAGTTGAAAATTTGAAAGTCCCATGAATATAAAAGCAATTACCAAAACCAAAATTCCATGATAGCTCAAAACATGAATGAAAGAAAAGTAGAACACATAAATATGAAAAAGACTATACTCTTCTTTCTACTCCTCTTTGCTCTCTTCGACCTTCTTCGGCTTCTTAGCCGTCGCCTGAGAATACAAGAACGTCCCAAGAATGGCTATGGCCGATCCGAGCCCGTTGAGCGGCCGGACCGGATTCCTGAAAACCAAGACAGTTGCAATAATAACCACCACTCTCTTCATAGTATTCCCAACTGAAAATGTGAGGGGGCTAATGTCATCAAGGGCCTCGTAGGACGACTGGTTGTAGAGATGATAAAAGATTCCCGACAGCATAACCCAGAGGTAGAAAGTCGCCGGCTTTCCGATTGTTTCGATAGCCTTATGGTAGCCGGCTACCCACTGCGAGCCTTCAACGACGACTGCGACAGGAAACAAATATAGAAGCGAGATGATGGTGATCCAGCCGTACAAATTGAGGCCATTGACCTGCTTGAAGCTCTCCAGGCTCTTTTTGGAGTAAATGTTGCGAAGAACGAAGCCGACATTGCTGATCATGGCGCCCCATAGGCCGGCGAAGTTGAAGGAGACCTCGGTGATGGCGGCGAGGGAGCAGCCGAAGACGATGGGGAGGATGGAGAGCCAGACGGTGAGGGGGTAGGAGTCGCCGAGGAGGGAGGAGAAGACGACGGAGAAGACGGGCTCGGCAGACTTGATGACGTGGGTGAAGGAGACGGCGACTTTGGAGAAGGAGACGCAGGCGGAGATGTGGCCGACGGTGTGGAAGAGGGCGGGGCCGAGGAGGGCGAGGATGAAGGAGCGGTCGATTTTGGGGCAGGGCTGGAGCTTGAGGGCCCAGAGGGAGAGCATCCAGAGGGAGCCGCAGAAGAGCTGGAAGGAGGCAAGGAGCCAGGGGTAGGGGAAGATGTTGAGGGCCTTTTTGTTGTAGATGTTGAAGATGATGTTGTGGGTGTACCAGAGCCCGAACACCACCGCCAGCTTCACCGTCTTGCTCGCCGGCGCCTTCGCTGCGTCGTCGCCGGAGGAGGAGGAGGAGGAGGATTCGGCGGCGGAGGCGCGGAGGGGTTGGGGTGACGGAGAGGGGAATCGAATCGGGAAGAGGGAGAGAGGGCGATGGCGAATGGGATTAGGATTGGGGAATGGTGCGATTTGGGGATTAGGGTTTCTGATTGGGAATATGGAATTGGAATTGGAATTGGATTTGAATTTGGGGAGGGCGGAGGAAGAAGGGAGGAGGTGGAGAGAAATCATTGTGGCAGACTCTGTGTGTTTTTTTACTGAGTGGAAATGAAATGAGGAAGAAGAGGAAGAAGAAGAAGATGTGTATTACGTACTTACTTACCCTCACCTACCTACCCACTCACCACAGGGACGGGTCACTGGCTGGGCTGACCCGACCGTTGATTGGTTCGGTTCTCACAGCAGTAGCAAGTATAACGTTGTTGGGAAATTGTTGCGAGCAAGGCAAGGCAAGGCAGGATAGGCACGTGATCGCGCTAAACCGGAACACGGGATGGCACGTGATCACGCTAGTCAGCCACAGAGGAGCGGGGGTGAGATCCCTATTCACTCCCCCAATTCCCATCCAATTAATTATTTTATGTGTGCGGGTAATATATATAATTTTTTTCTACACATTTTAAAAAAAATAATAATAATAATAATAATAACACGTATATTTATTATTTCCATATTTTATACACAATTTTTTATATTTTAAGTAAATATATATATATTTTTTAACTATTTTACAAAATAAATGCACTCTCAGTTAACATAAAAATTTGAGATTATTCATAATAATTTTTTTAATATATTTTATTAAATATTTCTTTTTTCTCATGTAACATCATGTAAATATTACTTTTCCATTCTACCGAATCCAATGTTTTTCTTCTAAAATATATATATATATTTTTACATATTTTTAATTTATATTTTTCAATGTCAAACAATATCGATGACTTTTTCTTTGATGAAAATTTATTTCAAATTTCTCTATGTTGACTTGTCTCATTCTATTTGGGTATATGGCCGAGAGAGGAGAAGAAGAAGGAACAAAGAGCGGGTAGACGGCGACGATGGGAATATAATAAAATTGGAAAAAAAGATAAAGCAGTAGCAATGGAGAAAAGAGAAGCCGTCGACTGTGCCTTGACTGTATGAGACACATTTGCTTTTCAATCGAAAATATACAATCAACTGTAGATTAATTTTTCAATACTTCATCCGTCTACAAATTAATGTCCTACTTTCTTATTTGAGACGTCCAAAAACTATTCTCCTATTTCTTTTTTTAAACAAAAATTTAACATTTTTATCCTTCATTCATTTAATACTTTTCATCTCTACCATATAATCTCTACCATATAATTAAGAGCAATTTTGTCAAATTCATAACAAAAAGACAATCACCTAAAAAAACCGTACAAATATATTTTAGAACAATAGAAATTGGACGGAGGGAGTATTTTATAGAAAAGCCTTCCAAAATGGGGATAATGACTTCTATAAATAAGCCACTATGCATGCTTTGATGGAACTTAGAGCAAAGACCATGGCTGGATGAAAAAGATTATTTATATTTTACTTCAATTTGTTTGTCCAAATAAAAAGAAAAAAATATACAATAACAAGTCATTAATAAAAAATATATAAAAAGAGATTATATGTGTCTGAAATTTTGGCATGAAAAAATGGAATAAAAAATTTCAAGGTGTCTCCCCTGCAGCAACATGTCTTGCTTGGCCTTCTACTTTTTGGCCTCTAGTAATGCATCAATTGTAGTTTTACATATTGTATGACTTCTAACACAAAGATTTGATGGTGGTCTGAAACTGAAACATTCTATTAGAAAACTACTGTTTTTGCTGTTAGAAAGTTTATTTTCAAGATTTTTATTAATTTTTGAAAATAAAACATCAAATTGAATTTATAATTTTTTTATATTATATTAAAAAATACTTCATCCGTCCCATAAATATAGTATTGGGTTGGATACGAGATTTAAGGAATATTGATATTATATCGGTAGTTGGTAAAAAATACAAGTAAAATATTTTTTTTGCCCTTGTGAATGTATTAATGTAAAAAGTAGTGGCAATTGTGTAATAAAAAAAAAAGTAGGGTAGTTTTACGGTGATATGGTTATTTATGGAAACAAGAGTATTGTTTTTGGACGGACAAAAATGGTAAACAAAACTATTGTATTGGAACGAAGGGAGTAATTTTATATATAAATAGAAATAATTTATTTGTTAAATTTAATTTATTTATTCAAATAAAAAAAATATATATTTCAATTTTTTGCTTCTTAAGTCATTGTACTAAACATATTTTTATCATCTTTATACTCCCTCAATCCTGTATCTATCTATTTATTTATTTTTTTCATCGAATTTTATTAGTATGATATAAAAGTAATGATATTTGTATAATATATTGTAAATTAGAAAGATATTTGTAATATTAAATATAAATTTTAAATAAAAAAAATAGATAAATTATTAAACACGAAGGAAATATTATTTTTATTTTTAAATTCTCACTAAAAAATATTTTGTTATTATATTAAATAAAGATTTATTATAGTTTTGTATTTTATTTTTTAAGAAAAAATAATAAGATCAAATGAACCTACAAGTCCACGACGAAGGGGTATAAAAAAAAAACCCACCTTTTTTTTATTATAAATAATTCGCGGGTCGGATTAGGACATAGGGTTTAAGGGTCCGTCGTTGCCATCCCCATATTCCCACAACTTTTCAACTGTAAAACCCTAGATAAAGGACCTTCCATTTTTATTTGCTAATTTGCTTTGAATTCCATTGACAAACAAAGTATCTCGGCCCGGCGGTAAGCAGAACTTCACTATTTCTTGTTCTCAATACCTATGCATCAATGCCTGAGTGATAGAGCTTTATCCGCCGAAAAATTAGAAAGGAAAAAAAATTAAAATTAAATTGCTATGCCTTGCCAGTAGCAGTGTTTTCTCTGAGGAATAATGGCGGAGTTTTGCTCTGATAAAATGTTAAAGGTCATCAGGATCGATAGCCTAGAAGTTTACGTCAGAAGGTAAAAAGAACAGCAGCATACTCTGCTTAACTCCTCTCCACTAAATTTTCAATCCCGTGGAATTTGTTTCAGTTGTATTAATGATTCTTCAGTTTCGACAGATAACCTGTTAGTCACTCTGATGTTTAGGTCGAGCATAGAGGTTTTCTTTGCTGTGGCAGGTGGCGTGCTTGTATGATTTTTCCAGGGTATGTTTGTTCGGTGTTATCTTTTGTTTTTCATTAAACCTTTAGTGATGCTATTTTTTCGCTTGGGATAGGGAATTAGTGATTTCCTTCTTTCTGTAAGCATTTCCAATTCTGTCTATAATATTTATGTTTATATGTGATCGTAGCTTCTAACAAAGCATGGTGTTAATTTTCTATTCTGCATTATTTTCTTTTTCGTGGTTGTGTGGTTTCCTTCAATGCTAATGAGCCCTTGATGAGGATGCATTCATAGGGTAGCTCGAATCACTTGAATCAATAAACCCTGATGTCAGTAACTTTGCTGAAGTGTTAATTATTTCCGATCTTTATACAAAGTTCATAAACTGCAAGCGGAGCCCCATGTTTTTTACCAACATACAGGTTTTCTGTTTAGTTCAAAACTGTCTTATTTTGAGGCAAGTAGGCGATCCACTGTCTGCCACTAGGTATATAGTCTACCATCGATACAATTATCTATCCCCCTACAAACTGACATCTTTAATTTTTTTTTTCACAGCCCACCATGATGCCAGTTAAATTCAAGACTTTCTATCCCACAAGTGATTGGGTCACAAACAACTGGATCAAGTTTGTATGAATATTTAATCTCTCACTTCCCAAATTGTGAATTTTGTAGGCTGTGCATTAAGTATCTATTAATTTATAACTTGCTTGCTTTCACTTTGCAGATCAAATGGAGCCACATGAAATCTGGTGCAACAGGCCCATGGAATGGAATCGTGGTTACAAAGCAGTTCTACAGTAGATATAGGTGTGTATTATTACTATGTTTTTTGTGATTAATTGGTTTTAGGATATATGACATTGTACAGTCTTTTGTAGCATTTTAGTAACTAAACATGAAAAGCTAGCACAATCATTCTTCATGTTGTAAATGTGTTATAAAATGTTCTATTTGAGTCCTTCTCTTCTTATATTATTGTTAATATAATTTTCTTCCTACACTAATATGACATGTGAAGATATTCACTGTGGAACTTAGTTATAGGTCTTCATCTGGCGACATTAACATGTGAACGATGGTTGTGCTCTTTTTTCTTTTAGTTTCTGAACCAGAGCATTACAAGTAACCCTTTGAGGGATCCAAAGAGCACTGTAAATTCAACCAATTCAGTAATCCAAACCACCTTAGTTATATAGATGAAACCATTATTCCAGCAGTCTTTCTTATGGTAATTGTATAAATTAAGACTAACGTATAGACTGAGATTATGAAAATTGCAGCACAAATTCTGTGGATGCTCGTGCCATCAAGACTGCATTTGATCCAGAGACCAGTCGCAACAATTTCAAACTGAAAAATTTCCTCAGAGGGAACCAAATCTATGAGGCGACCCGACTATTTGATCAAATGCCTCGAAAGAATACATGTTCAATTAACATGATGATTTCTTGCTACCTCAAGGGAGGCAATATATCTTATGCTAAAGAGTTATTTGATACTATGAGTGACAAGACAGCCGTGTCTTGGACAATACTTATCGGTGGATATGCTCAGAACAATCAACCTATGGAAGCTTTCAATCTTTATTTAGAGATGTGTCGAGAAGGGATGAAGCCAGATCACATCACTTTTGCAACTCTTCTATCAAGTTGTGATGAAACGATTGCAAGGAAAGATGTAGATCAAGTCCATGCTCATATATTTCATTTGGGATTTGGCGCCGACCTTGCAGTTTGTAACAGCTTGTTGGATTCTTACTGCAAATCTCAGAGTCTTGATCTAGCACTTTGGCTCTTCAACGACATGGTAACAACAGATACTATAACTTACAACACTTTGATTAAGGGGTATGCGAAAGAAGGTTGTCATAAACAAGCAGTTAAATTATTTTCTGAAATGCAACTTTGTGGATTTAGGCCTTCGGATTTCACTTTTGCAGCACTTCTTCGTGCCTGTGTTGGGTTGGATTGTACTGCAATTGGGCAGCAGGTTCATGGACTGGTCATCAAGGTGAGCTTTGTGCAAGATGTATTTGTTTGCAACGCACTTCTTGACTTTTACTCCAAGCATGATAATACAGAAGACATGAGAAGATTATTCTATGAAATGCCAGAGTTGGACGGTGTTTCGTACAATATTGTCATAACTAGTTATGTTTGGAATGGACAACTGAAAGAATCTTTCGATCTCTTCAATGAGCTACTTTTGAGCAAGTTTGACCGAAGAAACTTTCCTTTTGCAACTATGTTGAGTGTGGCATCAAACAAACAAGATCTCAAGATGGGGAAGCAGATTCACGCACAAGCATTCGTGACAACAGCTGATTCAGATATTCAGGTAGGGAATGCGCTTGTGGACATGTATGCCAAATGTGGCAGTTTTAATGAAGCTAATATGATATTTACGAAATTGGCCATCAGATCATCCGTACCTTGGACTGCCATGATGTCAGCTTATGTTCAACAGGGGCTCAACGATGAAGCCCTTAAGCTGTTCAATAAAATGCGTAAAGATAATGTTTCCGGGGACCAAGCAACTTATGCAAGCATTGTTAGAGCCTCGGCAAACTTGGCTTTACTTTCTCTTGGGAAAGAGTTGCATTCGTGCATAATAAAGGATGGCTTCTTATCGAATGTGTATTGTGGCAGTGCACTTGTAGACATGTATGCTAAGTGTGGATCATTGAAGTACGCAGTTTTGATTTTCCGAGAGATGCCTGAATGGAACACAATCTCATGGAATGCAATGATATCAGCATACGCCCAGAATGGGGATGGCAAAGCAGCTTTGAGTTCCTTCGATGAGATGGTGGAGTCGGGGCTAGATCCTGATCGCGTCAGCTTTCTTGGTGTTTTAACTGCCTGCAGCCATTCTGGGCTTGTTGACAAAGCATTACAGTATTTTAATTTAATGGCTGATGAATACAAACTTTCTCCAACAAAAGAGCACTATGCATCTTTGGTCGATGTGTTATGCAGAAACGGGAAATTCAATGAAGCAGAGGCGTTTATAGCTCAAATGGGCGTTGAACCGGATGAAATCATGTGGTCATCGATTTTGAATTCTTGCAGGATCCATAAGAATAAAGAGCTTGCAAAGAGGGCTGCTGACGAGCTTTTTAAGATGGATGCACTTAGAGATGCCGCTGCATATGTCACCATGTCTAATATCTATGCCGAGGTAGGCGACTGGGAGCATATGGCTAAGGTAAAGAAGGCTTTGAGAGAACGAGGGGTTCGGAAAGTGCCTGCTTATAGCTGGGTCGAAATTAACCGTAAAGTCCATGTCTTCAGCTCCAATGACAGGACACATCCGTTGAATGAGGAAATAAGAAAAAAGATGGATGAGCTGGTGTACCTTATGGAGGAAGAAGGTTATAAGCCGGACGTTAGGTGTGCGCTTCATAATGTGAACGATGAAGTTAAAGCAGAATCTCTTAAATATCATAGTGAAAGATTGGCCATTGCATTTGCCCTCATTAGCAGTCCGGAGGGATCGCCTATTTTGGTGATGAAAAACTTGAGAGCTTGTGTGGATTGCCATGCTGCAATCAAGTTGATCTCGAAAATTGTCCGGAGGGAAATTACGGTCAGAGATTCTAGCAGGTTCCATCATTTTAAAGACGGGGCTTGTTCGTGTGGGGATTATTGGTGATCCATATATTTACGTCCAATTCATTTGATCGATTCTATGTTAAATTCCATTCCATCTTGGCTCGGAAATGATCGTGGTGGCTGGAAGATGAACCAGTTTAAATCCTATATAACGACGGTACACACCCTTCCCTTCCCTTCTTCAATGCTGTTTGTTTCTAACAAGGCATCGCTTAGGTTGACGATTCGACAAGAATATCTATCTGTTTGCATCTATAATTGATTTATTCTTTAACAATGCTGTTGGCCTTGCTTACATCTTCATGACCTACTAGACATTTCTGTTTCTGGTGAACCTAGAGATTCAATCAGTTTTTTGTTGTTATATTATAAGAAAAGATTTTTTTTTTTTTTTTGGGGGGGGGCACACTGGGCTATGTATGTTACAGAACATTCTCACTTTTCTGTTTTTAATGCAATGCAATAGATAAAATTGTTGTCTGGATTTTACAGGTACAGAACAGTTGTAAATTGTTGGTGATGGCCCTTCACTGGAATTCAGATTCTTTCACCTAATTCTATTCTACCAATCAGAATGAGATGATGATATTTTTAGAACATAAAGAGTACAAGTAGTGAAAATCAGTTATAAACTGGGGAAGGAAAAAACCCCTACATGCAATATAAGTATGTGAAATTGTATCACGTGATTTGTATTATATTAATTTATACTGTGTGCTGTCTATACTATCAGACTATGTCATGTGGGGCTGTAGCCCCAACTGCTTACCGCTTACAATTTGTTAGATAAAATTGAATAATTAGTGTTAAAATATATTGAAAATCATAACCAAATAAATTCAAAGATATTATTTTAATTTCGTTATAAAATAATAATATTATTTTGATTTGTTTAATTTGTATTTTAAATTATTTTTTTATTCGTATAATTTTAATAACACTAAAAACTATAATAAAATATTATTCGAAAAAAAAAACAATATAAAAATTCAAATAAAAACAAATTTTACTGTAAAATTTACTGCAAACCAACTTTCTAAATTTATAATTATTACCACTAATATTATTAGATGCTAATAAAATATAAAAATATCTCATGATATAAAGAAGGAATAAAGTATAAAACCCATGGGGCTTAGGGTTTTACTGAACTTCTGAGTAACCTTTTCCTTTCTTCCGATCGTCTCCTTCACATCCATCCCCGCCGCAGATCAATCAAACGACAAGAGAACTGCTACCAACGCCACCGGCACGGCGGGGCAAATCCTCATCCCTCGCCAAAAGGTATCAGCTTCAAATTTCATCCGGTGAACGTGTAGCGGACGGGTAAAATAAACTTGATTAGTGGTTTATTCTACTTCAATCGGCTCCTGCCTGCTAATTTTCTTTCAACTCCGTAGACGGATAGAGTTTATCTGCCCAGCAGCGAATAAAACTTTACTTTCTTGTTCTTCTCTGTTTTCTTCAATTGTTGGTTCATTATATATCTTCCAGGGGAAGTGTTTTTGAGGAATAATGGCGGAGTTTCACTTCGATGAAATAATTAAGGTTGTCAAGATCGATAGCCAAGTAGTTTACGACAAAGGTAAAAGAGACAAAATACGCTTTTGCTTCGATTTTAATATTTCAATTGCGTGTGGTTGTTTCCGTAATGTGAATGGCTCTCAGTTTCGTTGCAATAACATCAAATCCGTTAAGTTTGTGACGTCTCATTATTTTGTTGAGCTTAAATGAGCGTTTATGATATCTTGAATAGTTTCAAAGTAGAAATTAGTTGGTTTTTAGCTAAAACCATTTTTATCTTTCAGTTTCCCGAATAAATGCCAAGAGTGAAGATGGGGATTTTTATTTGGAATTAGATATTCACTCTGAGTTATATCCTATGCTTCCCCGTGAAAAATATCGGATGGTGATTTCAAACTCCATACTTATGGATGGTTCAGCTGTGCCGGGCTACATCTCGGAGGTACAATTCCTTTTAACACTTTCTGTGATTTTTACAGCCTGTTAGATAATTTTCTTGAACCTGTGGTAAGGGATGCTGAGTAATGAAAGAACATGTACGTAATGTTTATTGCCCACACATTTAGTGAATCTTATGTTGTAGTTCATTCAATTATCTGAATCAACTTTCTTTTGCATTATACGGATACTGAAGATTAGTTGGTGACTTGGTGGCAACTTTGAAGTAACGAAGCATGATTTATTTTCTGGAACTTTATGTGAATTGATGCGACTGAATTTTTTATTTGATGTTAATGTTGTAGCACGTAAAAAAAACGTGTGATGATTTCTTTTTTTTTCCATAGTGATATGTTGATTAGACCCATATGGGTTTGGTTGATTCATCGTAGAATGTTGGAGTTTGGAGTGAATCATGTGATCCAATGTTTGTATGTACATTTTCATGTATACTTGTTAAAGCCATGAATACAAACTATTCTCATCAGACTAATGAAGAATTGACGTATAGATAGATATAAAACGAACCTTTCCATTTATTGGAGTGAGGTATCATTTTAACATAGTATCAAAGAAATTATATCTTCAGCATTGTCCATTTACAAACGAGTGCGTTAATGCAAGCTTAATGAAAAGAAGTTTCCCTGACTTGAAGGGGTGTGCTGTATGAATAAAAATATAAATAACTCTATGCACATTCTTATCACATTAAAGTTTTAAAAGACAGTCATTTTTACTGGGACATATTGAGTTCGAGGGGACTCTGCTAGATTTTATATGGGGTGGATTTGACAGAGCATATATCATTGCCCTTTTGCAGGAACAGAAGTCACTTGCTGACAAATTTGAGTACGTTATGCATGGTCTTCTGTATAACATGTCGGAAGCTGATGACAGTAATATGTATGTATACGTTAACTAAATGGTTGCTATTACTTGGTAACATTATTGTTCTACTGAATCCAGTAGTCCACATACATCTTCGCTGTCTTTTCAGTTAAGAAGTGTTTGTTTGGGGTTTTGGCTTTTAGGTTTGGATTTGAATATTAAAGTTTTGAATTGGAATAGTTGTTTGATTTGATATAAATAGGTGTTGATGCTATATTTTGAATGTAAAATTGATTTTTAGTATAATTTAAAAAAAAAAAAAGATAAAATAAGTATTTGATTTGATGTTTTTGAAAGAAAGTTTCTTATGAATAGTGGAAATCCACCAAAATCTCTTAGGCAAACACACTAGGGAAATATCTCTCTCACGGGGGCTCAATTTTTGTCAATGGGGAATGCATATTCATTTTTTTACTCCCATCTTTTATTTAATGTTATTTTCTGAACCTCTTATTGACATGTGATCATCCATCATGACAGATCCATATACATTTCATTCGGGGGTCTACAGCTGATGCTAAAAGGCAATCCCCTGAAGATGCGAAAATTCAACATTGATCAAAAGCTCTTTCTTCTCTTGAGGAAGGTCTGAAATGCATTAAGTTTTTGAAAAGACAATGTTCATGTTAAATAACCCCAGTTTTCATCCCGACAATTTAATGTTTTAATGACCAGTCTTGGAGTTTCCAATACAATTGTAGTTTCTAAAGCATGAATGCCCTCACTAGCTAGATCAAGAATTCGGCTAAAATAATAAATTAATGTTCATAAAGTAATTCATTTTTTTGAGGACTATGACATATTATATTTGACATCTATATTGATGGTTGTTTCGGTTTTCACGAATCTATATTGTTATGGAGCATGACCGTAGTTTATCCATTTTTTTTCCTGAGTGCCTTTGACACAGAAGCCTTCCCAAAAGTTGTTTTTCTGGATTGGTTCCGGGCTTGATAAGTAAGTTTTTTCTAGATCGTAGGCAGATGTTGTAGCATAACTACAAATTTCCTGTGGTATTCTGTATAGATTTATCCGTTTTTGTTATTTGCCTGCACGCAAGCGTTTATACTTAAATGATAGACATAAGAAAAAGTGGGAAGCACACAACAATGTTGTTCCCTAGAAAGAGTCGAGTTTGATGCCTGCAAAACTTGATCCTTGGGACTATAGACTATATGATAAGGTAGTTTTCGAACAAAGGTTAGATAAACGTGCGTGCAAGTAATATCCTAAGCCGTTGGAAAACTAACTATCCAACGATTCAGGAAGCCTTAGCAAGAGTTAGGTTAGGTTGAGAAGTGAGAAACAGGTAGATAGATTGGTAAAACAAATTATGTCGGATGGACTATACGTAACTTTCTTGTATCGATCTGTTTTAGACGACGGGACTATTCATCTTTGATTGTCCTAGATTTCTTGCCTCGTTCTAATCTCCTTTTTTGGATAACAGAGGTAATATATACAACTACCATGAACTGTATGTCTCTTTAATAGGCTGTTATAATTCCGTTATAAATACCTTCTTGAAATTTTATGGTATATTTAGAACCTTGACTTTATCATTTGTCTGTCACACCATTACATTATTTATTATTTTTATTTTTTTTTTTCTTTGGTAGTCTAAATATGTTCCAACTCTCATCTTTTGGTGAATAATGAACAAATCCCTTATCTTGTTACGAAATTGCAGATTTTGTACAGCAGGATAGAAGTTCAGTAGTGGTCCCATTAGATAGGGTACTTTTGTTCTTGGAATGAAATTTCCAATGGGAGTTTTAAATTGTGGAAAATTTGGAGGGTTTGATTGGTTTTGATTTGAAATTGAGTTTTTGTGTTATGAATTGCATCAAATTAACATATGGATGAAGATAATACAGTAAAATAGTTTCGGATAAGAAATTAAATAAAATCATGATATTAGTTGAAAATTACAAAATTTAAAATTGAACTAGTATTATAATATTGAAAATGTTTAGGTTTAGATCGAATGATTTTGATTAGATATATTCTTTTTGCTATTTTATTTTATTTTAATTTGTAGTACATTTTTATATATAGTTGTATGTACGTATGTATGTGTGTGTAATCTTTATTAAATAATAATAGTAATATAATATGTTAATTAGGTGAGTCAACAACCGTCAGTTATAAAGCATGTTCAGCATTTCTCAACTTCTACAAACACCACCTATAAATAGAAATAATTAGGATGTGTTTGGTTGTGCATTTGTATTTTGAATTTTTCGATAGTAAAAATTTAAATTTGAATTTGAATAATTATTTAGTGTGATCTAAATGGATGTTAATGTAATATTTTTAATGTAAAATTAGTTATTAAAATTATATAAAAAAATAATTATTTGATTTGATATATATAGAAAAAAAAAAGTTTTAAGTAAAATTTTGTGGAATATACAAGAGAGATTTTTTATTTCAAACAAAAATAAACAATATTCAATCTGTAATATATATATTTTTCAAAAGATATTAAATACTATTTAAATAAAAAAAATTCAATTTCAATTTAAAACTAACACACTCTTATATTGCTCAAGATATCGATTTCAATAAATAAATAAAATTAATAATAATAATAATAATAATCATGTGTAAGTTAATTAAGAATTTCAGATAATGACAGAAATTTTTAAAAATGAGGGTGGGTTAGGCAGAGAGTTCTTTCAACACCAGCGAGCTTTACATGATTTAATTTTGGTAATAATTATTAATATAATAAATCACATTTTTTTGGGGATTCTTTTCCTATAATCAAGGATTTGTTTTTAAGTAGAGGGAAAATACTACAAACAAGAAAAAAAAAAAAAAAAAAAAAGAACAATGTTTTATTAGAAAATTAAATAAAATGAACAAAGCAGTTAGGGTATTTAAATTATTTATTTATTCATTTTAAATTATACATTATGCAAAAGTCATCACTATTTATTTTTTACGATTTTTAATAAAAATATATATTATTTTATCTCATAAAATGTCACATCAAAAATTAAACAAAAATACCAATAAGCATTCTATTTCAAATCAATATCATTGTACATTTGCATAATAAAAAAATTGAAATAAAAAAAGACAAAAATAGCTTTACTTGTGATCTTTGTTTTGCTTAGTTTTAGTTGGGTATTGTAAATTAATTGAAAAAAATATGTAAATAATCAGAAATAGTTTTTGCTTTTAATTTATTTTTAATATTTTTTCTTTTAACTTTTAAAATAATTTACGAAAATATTATTATGGGTGTGCTTGGTTTATGTTTTATGTTAAATATAATAGTTAGGTGTTATATATTTTTTTAGAAAAAATAATTAGTGTATTTTTAAATTAAACCATGCAATTATATAGTAAAAAAAAAATAATAATTCTATAATTATTTAAAAATTCAAAAATTTACGAATAGAAATAGTAATAATAATGAGAAAATGGTATTAGCATAATGTATTTTATTTAAAGCATTAAAATTAATTACTAATGTGAAATGGTTGTTTTAGTTAGTTAGGATGCCCATATTGCATGGAGGGAATAAGCGTGGGACCACATTATTCGTCCTTGGAAGCTCCGGGACTCGAAAGTCCAGATGGACCTGCACCATTTATACTGACCGAATTCACCTGGCCTTAGAAGACCCGGATTGCCCCAAAATCATACGCTATATAGAGTTTCAAAACAATTTTTAATTGTGGAATTACTATCATAGAATATTATTCCCTCGCTTCCATAAATATAATATTAACTGGGTTGACCATCGATAGTGTAAAAAGTAGCAATAACTGTATAATAAAAAAAAAATATGAATAGTTTTATGGTGATATGGTTATTTATGAAAATAAGACTATTGTTTTGGGACGAACAAAAATGGTAAACAAGACTATTATATCGGTACGGATGGAGTATATTGAAAATTTATTATATGAATAAAAAATTACTACTTAAATATGAAAAAAAAATTTCCAAAAAATAATAATAATAAAAAAAAACATACATATAGACAAACAAATAAATTTTATATCTAAAAATACATATTTTTTTATTTAGATTTAAAATTTTTCATTTAAATAGTAATTTAATATAATATTTTGTACAAAAAGTATACATTTTATCAAAATTTTGAAAATTGTATAATGAAGAAATTGATTTATGTACACTTAATCTAAAAACTAATCATATGAAATTATATTTAGGGTAAACTGTTTTTTTAGTCCCGTAACTGGATTCTCTTATCATTTTAGTCATGTAAGTGGAGCCTATCGCAAACTAGTCCCATAAGTGAAAAATTTTCCCTGTTTTAGTCCTCCGGCGCCGAAGATGCCCGCGTGGCTCGCCAGAGGTGACGTGTCAGCCAGGTGTCGCTAACCTGGCCGACCCGTGGATTTTTTTAATTTTTTTTTAATTTTTTTAAAACTTATTTTTAATTTATTTTAAATTTTATTTGTATATTTTTTAATTTTTTTATTTGGTCCAATTAAAAAAAATAAATAAATAAATAATTTCACGTGTACCTTCGGCAAGCCACGCGGGCGTCTCTGACACCGGAGGACTAAAACAGCGAAAATTTTCACTTATGGGACTAGTTTGCGACAGGCTCCACTTGCATGACTAAAATGATAAAGAGCTCTAGTATGGGAAAGAAAAAAACAGTTTACCCTTATATTTAATATGAAACGTACATAATAATAATAATAATAATAATAATAATAATAATAATATGCAATTTTAATATATAAAAAATATTTATTTAAAATTGTGTGCCCCAAACATCCTAACTAATTTCTAATATTGTGCATATTTTTGTATGTATTTATATATGTACATAAAATTGTACACTTTTGTTACGTACAAAAGAGATAGAAACAAAAGGTGGCATTGCGTACGACATTATAACCACTTCTTCAAAACTTGATTGGACGGACACTTTTTTAATATTTTGTTCACACATTAATTAATTAATTATATAATAAAAAAAATTATTATGTTCGGTTTATCATTTTACTTTATATAAAACAATATGTTCGTACATTTATTATTTATATAATTCTTTATATTCCAAATAAAAAAAAATATCATTCAAATTATTTTACAAAATTAACACACCCAAAATAATTAACATAAAGATGGTTCTTTTTTTACATATATTAAAAAAATTATCGTAAATGAATCATGGCAAAATTTTAAAAAATACTTGTATAAACAGAGACAAAATAAAAAGTGATCCAATAATATGATGATATAAATTCATGTGTTCCTATATTATAAAATTTCAAAATAAAAGTTTTTTGGGTCCTATTTTTTTTTTTTTTTTTTAATGGCATTGTCTCAAAGAAAAAAAAAAAAAAAGTGTATTAATTGTTGATGAAACTAGCTTATGTTATCCACCTAAATATATATTTTGAATGTGTTTGTAAACCTAACCATAAGCAAACCAAGAATAAATAATAACAAAATAATCATATATATATATATATATATAAAAGGAAGATCAGGAGTGGGGCCCATGCGATGATATTTATTCTGAGTATAACAAAATTTCCCTTGTAAGGAAACATGTATCAAAACAGAAAAAAGGGTTTAAACCAAAAAGCTTATATACACACAAACACATTACAACAAAATATTAATAAATTATATTATATTTTTCTTTTCAAAATTACAATTATATATATATTTTTTTTTTCAAAAAATATCCAATCGAATATTATTAAAATATAAAATTTAAATCAAAATTTTCAAAGAAAGAAGCCTCAATACACTCACACACACACATAATAGAATACTAATATATACATATTCGGTCCTAACCCTCTCACTACAACCAACCAAACTCATCACTTTCCTCCATTAATATCCAAAGTCCATTCTCTCTCTCTCTCTCTCTCTCTCTCTCTCTCTCTCTCTCTCTCTCTAGTATTGATTAGTGTAGCATATATATATATATATATATGGATATAAGTTCTTGTTCTTGATCAAGCTGGTAATCAAAACTTGTCCTCTGTAATTTCCAAAGGTGATCATGTTTTTTTGAGAGTGTAAGAACACTTTCCTGATTTGGATACGAAAGATCAAATCTTTTTGGAGATGCCCATACACATATACATCTCATCTTCTCCCCTTTTCAACATCATCATTTCAATTAGGGTTTTTCAATCTCCCCAAGAAACTGAATCGAATTGAAAGGTAAAGTACTGCTAGCTCTTCACCACTCTTGCTTTTTTTGTAATTTCATTTTTTTTCATTTAAGAAAGAATACCCTTTAATGTCTTTTTCTGGTTATGAATTTCATGTACTTACACTGCTTTGATTTGTTGCTTCTGTTAAAGGTGTAAAGACAGCCAAAGGAAGATCCCAAAACTATACATACATACATACATACATATATATATATATATATGATATAGGAGACAAAAGAACAGTTCAAACCTTGGTGTGTTGATCTGCAGCTTCCCCTCAAAACCCACAACAAATTAAACATGTACAGTGATCAAAATCAGAATGGAGGTTTGATTCAGACAGATCAACAGGACCATGGCTTCCCCCAATCCCACAATATCCCCAATTCTAATAACCCTAACCCTAACCCTAATTTCGCCATGGACGACGACCCTTCCTCCAATTGCAACAACACCAACAACAACCCACTCGAAATGGAGCTCCACCACCAGTTCAATCTCGAAATCGACCACTGCAACACCTACGCCGCCCCTAACGGCGGAGCCGCCGCCGCCGGAGGCACCAACAACGACATTCAAGAACTCATCGTCAACGACGCCAACACCTGGCAAGAAATGGCCAACAATTTCCAGCCCCTCGACTATCCCCAAAACAACCCCCACTTCCTCCCCAACTCCGCCGCCGCCGCGCCGCCGTACCCCCCCACCACCCCCGATCTCCTCACCATGTTCCCCTTCCCCAGATGCTCCTCCATGACCCTTCCGATCAACGTCAATCCCGGCCCCCACAGACCCCCCAGCTTCCTGGCCTCCCTCGGCCTCCTCGGCGAGCTCAACGACGGCTCCTCCACCGTCGTCTACGACCCTTTGCTCCCCCTCAACCTCCCCCCCCAGCCCCCCCTTTTAAGAGAGCTTTTCCACTCCTTACCCCATGGCGCCGGCGGCTACAACCTCGGAGGTCCACGAAACGGTGGCAATAACAATGGCCCTAATTGTCTATTCGGTGGAGTGGACGAGATCAGAGATAACGGCGTCTATTCTAACGGAGATGGAAGAGCCTTCGACAATGGCGGTGGAAGCGTCGCCGTCGGAGGAGTGTTCGAATTCACCGCCGGCGAAATGGACAGCTTAGGTAAGAATCGTGACATTGGTAAGGACACCAAACATTTCGCCACTGAAAGACATCGAAGAGTCCTCTTGAACGACAAATACAAAGCTCTGAGAAATTTAGTTCCCAATCCCACCAAGGTAACCTTAACCTTAACCTAACCCTAACCCTAATCAATTCACCAAAACCCTAATTTCGATTTCAATCAATTTTCTTCTCTGGTAAGAATCTAACACGTCCAATGTTGCTCAATTCTCAGAATGACAGGGCTTCGATTGTCGGCGACGCGATCGACTACATAAACGAGCTAAAGAGGACTGTGACTGAGCTGAAAGTTCTTGTGGAGAAGAAGAGATGTGCAAGAGAAAGGCTAAAGAGGCCGAAAACTGAAGACGAATCGATCGAGGGCGGTAATAACAATGATTCAAAATGTCTGGCTCACGATGTCGACAATTCTTACAACAATTCCCCTCTCCGAAGCTCCTGGCTCCACCGGAAATCGAAGAACACGGAGGTTGATGTCAGGATCATCGACGACGAAGTCACTGTCAAGCTCGTCCAGCAAAAGAGGATCAATTGCTTGCTGTTCGTCTCCAAAGTTCTCGACGACTTTCATCTCGATCTCCACCACGTCGCCGGCGGACTCATCGGAGATTATTACAGCTTCTTGCTCAATTCCAAGGTTCAATTTTTATTGTCTCGTACAAATCAATTAATCATATCCTAGTATTAATCGAATCCTATAACTAATGGTAAATATCAAATCGAATCGAATTGGTAATTAATCATAAACTCCAATTGTTGCAGATTTGTGAAGGTTCGATAGTGTATGCAAGTGCAGTGGCGAATAACCTCATCGAAGTAGTGGATAAACAGTATGCAGCAATTCTACCCACCAACAGCTACTGAAGTAATCTTCCTTAATTTGGTATGATCGATCTTATTATTAATTACATCGTTGATTTCCAACACTTGATTAAATATTATTAATTAATTAAGGTTTGAATTTAATTTCGATTATGTAAATGTGAAATTATATTTATTTATAATTTTTGTAAATAAATAAATAAAACAGGTTTGGACAGTAGGTTCGATCAGAAGAGAGTACGTACATACGTAGTACTTACAGTGTCTCTTTTAGACCACTTCACAGAAGTGTACTGAGTCAAACTTTTGGACATATTTTTTCTTCAAGTAACAAAACAGGATAGTACATAGCCCTTTTGGATGAAATTTTAATGGAATATTAATTAATTAATTAGTGGGATATTATAATAATAATAATAATATTGCATATTTAAGTAACCCATGCTCCTAGTTCTAAGACAATAATTTTAATTTCTTTTCCACATTTTTTTCTGTGCAATAATGAATTAAATAGAATGTACATATTAATTATATATTAGGGGTTTCAAAATACTTTTGTTTTACATATTTGTAATTTTGTATGTAGTAATCTGTTCATATATTATATATATATATATATAGAATATATTCAATCATTGATTTAGCTGCTGAAATGATTTGTTGGTAATTTCTTCTTCTTCTTTTTTGGCAGAATGCATGATGGGAGGCTCTGAAATTTCCTGCTAATTATAGTCAGGGGATGCTCGATACAAATATTATTATTATTATTATTATTATTATTATTATTATTACTACTAAGAAATGTCAAGTGTGTAATAAATATTTACATGGACAAAAACAGGAATGTTTCTAGAGATATAAATACAAACTAACATTTGCATATATCTATTGTTAGATCATCACATTTCAGTATTGTTAACTACGTTTTGGTGTGTTACACTTATTTTACAATATTTTTAAAATAAAAAATAATTAATTATATTTATCTATATACTTCTCTTTCATTTCAATTTATTTTATTTAATATTATCCACTTTAAAATAAGCAATTATGTCTTGTGACAAATGAATTGCTTAATCAATTATTATTATTTGTTTCAAAACTTAATGCAAACAAATAAAATAAACATCAAGAATTAAGACATCTCAACTTACAGACCACTTTCACTTTTAATTTAATTTAACTTGTCCCTTCACTCCAAATCCCACTTTTCTTGCACTCTTCTCAACCCCAAAAAAATTCCCAACAATCCCAACTACCCCTTCAATTTCCCTAATCTAAATTCATATTTCTATCCAAAAAACACACCCATGAATTAAAATCAAATATGTTCCGATAGTTCGATTAAAGCTTGATCATTGATGAACATGGGTTCAATTGGAAACCCTAATCCATGGCCATCATATGACACTTCTTGTTCACAAGGAATATGCACTCTCTATTGCCCTCACTATTGCTACTTCTTCCTCCCTCCGCCGCCGTCGTCGTCGGGTCTCCGAGAAGGTTCCGGAACCCTCTTCTCCCCTCTCGTCATAGCCGTCATCGTTCTCCTTGCCACCGGTTTAATCTTCGCCACTTACTACGCCGTCGTGGCGAAGTACTTTCGGAGGAATGAGATCGACGCCGCCGCCATCGTAATGCGCCTCGATGGGAGCCTCGATCATGATGGGTTCGATCAATGGCATGCGGGTTCGGACGGATTGGACGAGGCGACGATCAAGGCGATTAGGGTTTGTCGGTATCGATCCGGGGATGCCCTAATCGAATGCGGCGAGTGCGTCGTGTGCCTCGTAGAGTTCCGGGACGGCGATCCACTTCGACTCCTCCCGAAGTGCCGCCATGCATTTCATCTCCCGTGTATCGACACTTGGCTCCGGTCACACTCGACTTGCCCGTTGTGCCGCGCTGGGGTCGTCGCATTGGCTCATGCTGATGTGGATTCTGGTGGATCGGAGGCGGCGGATGAGGTGATCTTGACGGTGGAGGAGGAAGATGAAGCTCCGCCGGCGCCGGCGGCGGAGAAAAGTTCCGGTGGGGAGGGGTTTAGGGCATTGAGGAGATCGGTTTCATTGGGGGAAGATTGTTGGAAGAGACATGGTTTGATGATGTCGAATGATGTGATGAAAAAGTTGGATCAAGATTTGTTACTACAAGTGGGAAATGATTTGGTTGGTCCATCGAAAGGGTTTGCGATTAAGAGAAGTTTCTCAACGGGTAGATTCATCGATATATGTTCTTAGTTGATTGATTAAATGATAATTAGTGGTAAAAATTATTTTTATTTATTTATTTTCAAGAAAGATGAATTCTAAATTTATTGGTTTGTTAAAAATAAATAACTTAGAATTACATCTGTAATTTCCAAATCAACATATGATCTGGTTTTATTTAATTTGTCTTCTTAGGTCAAGTGTAAATTACACTCAATAATTAATATTACTATTACTAATTAATGCAATCAATATATCAATTTTCCAAATTTTACAATATTAATTTTCATCCAATTAATAAAAAATTCTTATTTTTCATCCAAAGTCATTATATATCATTATTTTATTTTACAATCTGTCAACTATATTCTTAACAATAATTTAGTTAATGCATTATTATATATTATCAATATTACATATAAAATACTACTGATATGTATAATCCTAATTTTTTTAATAAAAAAAATACATAAATAATGACAGGAGGTAGTAATAGTTAGTGATTTATTTTTTTGGTAAGTCCATGTTATAAAAATTGCTGTGTAATGGGCCTTATAGGCTATAGCCCAAATTCTATTGGGCCATATAACCAATAATTCACTTAAAATAATTTCGGCTTTGTTCATAGTAATTTCAATAATATGTAATTTATAATTGAACAGAAAGTTGAAAAGTTTTATATTTAAAATAACTCATATCACAAGTATGTACACGTATATGAGCAATGATCAAAACTATTATTTATTTAATTATTTTATTTTTACCAAATAACAAATTAAATGATTGGCGAAAGTTCTACAAATATTTGGCTCTATTTGAAGAGAGAGTTTCGAAAATTTTAAAATAAAAATATATATATTTAAAGTGATGTTTTGTGATTTAAAAAATATATTTGATGTGAAAAAAATTATAATTTTTCATTAAAAAACATAAGAAATAATAATAAAAAAAAATTCACACAATTTGTTATAATTATTAATTATAATTTATAAAGGTGCAAATAAATGATCCCATGATTTTATTAATTCAATCTCAAATTAGAAGGTTAACTAAATCCAATAAAATTTATTCTTCCCATATACTCCCTCCGGTCTATGTAATATCAGTGTATTACTGTAGACACGGAAATTTAGGTAAAATATAATTAGTAAGTAATTGATAAGTGTATTAGTAAAAATAATTATAGATTATGATTAAGATAAGTAAATAGTTTAATTAAAATTAAGAAAATTATAAAATTTAAAATGGGATTAAAGTGTATAATTATATTTCAAAAATAGAAATGACAAGTTACAGAGGGAGTAATTGATTGAAACTAATTAGCAATCATGTGATGAAACAAATCATATTGCTAAAATCTAGGCTTTTTTTTTTTACACTAATTTCTTTGTACCCAACTGATAATTAGAAATGATTAATCAAATTAAAGATCCATCCAAAATTATTTTAATAAAAATTTACATTCTAATTCTCAAATTATTATATTATACAGTTGTTAGTTATTTCTCACTTTAATTTTATTTTAATGAAAAATCACTTTAAATATTGGTTTGATACTAGTTTTTAAAATGAATTATTTTTATAAATTAATATACAAGAAACTTATATAAGCCTTTTCAAAATTATTACATTACTTGTAAATATTATGGTATGTTTGTTTTGTATTTTTAGATGAATATATATATATATATATATTTTATTTTAAGTATAGTGAATTGTGTTAATAACACAAATAAATAAATAAAAAATATTCTGTTGAGATTTTTTGTGAATGGATTATTTATAATTTTGGATATAAATAATAATAATAATTTTAAATTTATAACATTCATTAAGAATGGTATCAATAAAAAATAATTGGATGAACACAATCTATTATATTCTTTTCCATCTAAAAAATAGTTGGTACATTATCTCACATCTCTATTGCAATATCATTTCAAGAATTTCAACTTACTAATCGAACGACTAATTTTGAATAATCAAAAGAATAAATTTGGTTGTAGAATTATCTCAATTTTGTATTATTAAATCAAATTTCACAATCTTCAATCAAAACCTTGGACTTAGATCAAATTTAGCAAATAAAATAAAAGGTTGGTGAAACCAAAATCCATCTAAAAAATTGACCATTTAATTGCCCCCAAATAATAAAAAGAGTGATTCTTGAAGCAATTTTAATTTTATTTTTTTTTAAAAAAAATCTCAAAAGAACACATTTTAAATTATTTTCTTGTAATCTATAGACATGACTTAACAATTAATTTCCAAATGGTTTTTTCATCTTCTCCCAAGTTGTAAGAAAAATGTTTAGGTAACAGAAACAGACATATGGTGATTATTGGTGGGACACTTCGGACATAAACTTAGAGTATTAAAACAAGTTTATTTCGTGATTAAGTTCCGTGGACGCATTCTGATTGGTCGACACATTTGAGATTATCAAGAAAAAGATGGGTAATTAATAATTATATATATAATATTCCCTAACAAGACAAGCATAGTTGGTCATTAGATTAAGGGGATGGTAAGCAACTCCAGGAGCCCAACTCCCGTTAAGTCGAGACTATCGATCGATCTATTTGGCCCGAGCCGAGCTCCCGGGAGCTGCCAAGAATGTCTTCTTTTTCTTTGATTAGGAGGGACAAATCACAAATGTTTGTTTATTTAATTATTTATTTAAAAATGTAATCTTGGTTTAATTTGATTTGAAAATCTTTATGTTGTCAAGTTTGTTGCCCTAATTTGAAGTGGTCCTGAAAAAATGTTGTCTTTTTCTTAACTTAACTTTTGTGTAAATGTTGGATCTTTTTTGTGTGCTCGATAAATCATCGTCTAAGTGAATTTTTGGTAAATACTATAATTAAGGGTGTGAGTGTGTATTTTGTGAATATTAAATTAAAATATAATATAAATGAAATTTGTAATTTTGATTTAATATTTTAATGAACATATATATATATTATATATTGTACGGTTAATTAGTTTTGTATACATAATTTTTTTAATTAATTTTGACCGTGTGATATTTGCTCCTTTCTTTTATACTAAAAAGATTATATATAGTTATACTATGTTAACTAAAATAATAGTAATAAAAAACACAAAAAATGAATAAAAAAATAAAAACAAGTAAACAATTATAAATAATAGTAAAAGAACTCTGTTTTGTTCCTTCACAAAATGTGGTATTAAACTATTGTTTAAATAAAAACACGAATTAGTAAATCCAGAATAATTGTTTATTAAAAAATATTTTTAATAAAATACTAAAATAAAACATAAAACATAAAAACACACATGCACAAGTTAGCACACTTTTTTAGTACTATTCAGATATTGATGAATTTTCATAATTACAATTCATTTTTGTATATACACACAATAATTTAAATTCAATAAATATATGTATATATATATGTCTCATTGGCTTTTATTAAATTTGGTTGGTGGGGCATTTGGAAACTTTAATGATTTGTAGTAAACACTATACATTAAATAATAATAATAATAATAATAATAATAATAATAATAATAATAATAATAAATTTGGTTGTTGCTTTTGGTCAAAACAAGGAAATTATAGTTCACAGTTAGTTGCAGGAATTTTTGTACCAAATATTTTTAAGAAATATTTCTCAAACTTTTCAAATATTTGCTATTGAAGAAGTATAAGATTTATCTCTTTGGGTTTTCATTTATATATAAATCCAAATCAACATAATTTAATACTCTCTCTGTTCAATTTCTACTGTACTAAAGTATATTTGTACGGTTTTTTTAGGTGATTGTCTTTTTGTCATGAATTGACAAATTTGCCCTTAATTGTATGGTAAAGATTAAAAGTAATAAATAAATGGAAGGTAAAAATGTAAAATTTGTATTTAAAAAAGGAAATAGGACAATAGTTCTTGGACGTCTCAAATAGAAAAATAAGACATTAGTTTGTGGACGGAGGAAGTATATTTTTAGGGTTTGATAAGCATATAATTGATACACACAAATGTAATTTACATTATGGGTATGTTTAATTTTGATTTAAGATTGGATGTAAATGATATTTTAATGTAATATTTTTATTTTTATTTTTAAAAAAAGTAATATATTTTTGTTGAAATTCAGGACCAAAACATGGCAAAGATAATATGAATAAATATAAAAGACAATTAATCATAGTAGGTACATGCTAAATTAATTAAATTTGTTTTTGTTTTTCCATATACATAAATACTGTTTTTTATTTATTGATTTATTTTTTTTTGTCATAGAATACTGTTACTTTTAATAAAATTATATTTATTTTATATAAAATATCACATTCAATTATTATTTTACTTAATAATAATAAAAAGCAAAATCCATTCAAAAACAAGATTGCAAAATTTTCAAAAGATCTGTAGCCTTTTCACTCATTGTGCAATTGTCGACATAATACATCACAATCATACAACCTTTAAAAAAAAAAAAAATCTTTTATTTATTTATTTTTATTTTTATTATTATTATATTCTGTAGTTGATGCTAGTGGGAGCCATATGATATCAATTAAAGTTGTATATTATAATATATTAGAAAAAGTTGAATATTGAATCTTTAATTTTTGAATAATGAAAAATACATATATATTTATATATATATATATATACCTTCATTCTTTATGATTACATTTAAAAATAATTTTAATTTTTTTACTTGTGGCTGTGGTATGTTGAAAATTTATATAGAATAAAAGATTGTGTGGACAGGGTTTATAGAGTATCTCATTAAATTTGTTGTTAACAACAAATCATGTGTGCATATATATATTTTTTCTAAATATTTCATTTTATTAAAAAAAAAATAAACCCAAATAAAGTAGCTTTAGGGTGTGTTTGTTCGGGGTTTTGGATTTTGAGTTGGGATTTGAATAATAAAACTTTTGAATTTGAATAGTTGTATGATGTGATATAAATAGGTGTTGATGTGATGTTTTGAATGTAAAATTGATTTTTAGTATAATATAGAAAATGAAAAATATATGTTTGATTTGATATTTTTTAAGGTAAAATTTTGAATGAATAGTAGAATTTTGGTAAAATCATTCGAACGAACAAACCCTAATGATTTGTCAATTGTTTCAATTTATCTTTTAATAAATTAACCTATAACAAATATATATATATATATATACATATATTTCTAATGCAATT